TCGGTATGTAAACAGTTGTCTTCGACTTTTTCAGAAACTGTAGACAATTATTTGGTTTTTGTTGTGTATCGTCCGTGACCAGCTCTTAGACTAAGTTGTCTTGTATTTAAAGCTTGCGGTTGCCTGTAAACGTCAGAGCAGAGATACGTTTTCTGGAATACTAAAGGGGTGAGACGTGTGTTGATGCGTTTTCGACTGACCTCTCTGCTAAAATGTATTTCGCTGATTTGTTCCTTAAAGTGGTGGTGGAATTCATCGAATTCGTCGTGTCGTGCGGCGGTGAATATTTCGTCAACGTAGCCAAAGTGGTATCTTTCATCGGCAAGTCGAAAGGGAGCGTTCCTCGATGTTCTGCATCAGCAATTACGTGACAACAACGGAAAGTGGCGCCTTCAAACCTGCACAATGTAACTCTTCGTATCGTTTAATGTTGAATTGAAAGCAAGTTGATCTAGACATAGGTTCAGTAAGTCCGTTATGTCCTCTATGGGTAGTAGGTCGTTGAGTTGTCGGTAGCTGTCTCAGTACATTTTAGTGCCAAAAGTAGCGGAAAATTGGTAAGAAGTGATTTAAAATCAAATGACACTGGTTTTTAGTCGTCAGGTATCTGTACAGTTTTAATGGCTTTTGCGAAGATCTCGGAGGACTGGAGCTTACGTCTGGATTTGTCGGTAGTGGTATGATCGTCAGACTGCTTGGATACAATGGAACCTCGATTTAACGAACCTCCATGTAATGAAGTTGTCAGTATAACGAACGGTACTCTTCAGTCCGGCCAAAGTTACAGTAAAATGTATGGGAAAGAACCTCGAAATAACGAAATCTTCGTTATAACGAACGCAATCCAGAAGCCCAGACCTATGATGACCTATAATATATAACCCGATATAACGAACGAATGCTAACATGTGACAAAAGGAAAATGCAAAACAGACCAACAAGAACAAAATCCTTCGATTCCAGTAACCTGAATGGAACAACTTCACGGTTAATAGCTTATTGTTAATGCCAACGGCCTTGAGATGACGGCGAAATTCGTAATTTCGTTCGTCTATATATACATACGAGCATTTCTTGGAGCCACTAAGTTTGTCGGACGAATATAGTTGGCTATATATTATAACTGACCATAATAAAACCAGTAAAGTAATGACTTAATGGCTGCTACATTTGCGTCCGTATAATAAGAAATTCTTAGATAGCCAGTAACGTAATGGCAAAACAAAGTTTTGTGATTATCATAATTTCCATTGACACTGTCGACACATCTACAGATCCGCTTTATCCTTAGTTCTATTGAATTGAACTTAACCTTTTTTTCAAGGAGTCTTGTAGTTTGCTTGTTTGCCGGTGACTTCCACGGAAATTTGTCCTCCTTGCTTTAAAAACAAGGTGCTGTAGCTATATACAGACCTGTATAGCGTACTGTAGCATCATACAGACATTAGAGCACAAATGTTATTTACAGTAATCGTTCCGATCCCAAAAGGCTGGGTAGCCCGACGTCATACCACAAAAGAAAACCATTCCTCGACATTTTATTTTTTCTGTTTCCGCAAATTCGTTAAATCGAGGTTTTCGATGTAACGAACTCTCGAACCAATAACGAACCAATTTCCCCAGTCCCTTGGCAATTCATTAAATCGAAGTTCCACTGTAGTGGGTATGTAGGAGACTTTGAAACAAAACTATAAGTCGCTTTGGGAAACCAGGTTTGTGAAGATTTGGCAGACTGCAAAGTTTCGGCAGCTGTGGTACTGAGCACTTTAGTCGATAGTTGCGTTGAGCGTCAATGGCGTTACTTTTCCTAGGGGTTTAGTTTACGTTGAATCGTAAGAGTCAAGATTGTATGCCGGTACCACTTAGATACATTTTTTATCAACTCCATCTCTGTGTGCTGCAAGATACAATAAACGAAGATTCAAGAAGAAATGAGCTCATATTCTGATAATACATATAAGTTGAATGAAGAGTTTTTCAATAAATGGTTTGAACCCGGGGGTAACATGTAATAGTGTAGTTTGATCGTCCGGGTGATTCCTACATCGGTGAGACCGGCATAAACCTCACAATTAGACTGACTGAACACAAACGAGCGATGAGGAAAGGCGATGTCAACAGTCGCATTGCTGAACTTCACCGACTTACGAACCACACTATTGACTGGGAATCTGCGCAATGCCTAACCTACAGAACCAACTACTTTCAACGACTGACTCTGGAAGCTGGTTTACTAACTTGGAATAGACTCCCCTCAACAGGTGCCAGCCACTACTGGCACCATACAAACGACTCATCCACGACATTAACATTAAAAACGATTCGAACAGAACGACCTAACTTTACTAACGGATCGAGACTGATCAATCACGACCGACCTACGCCACTTGAGTCTTACAACCGATAACAAAACGGCAAAACTGACCAATCCGTTTATAGGAGCCGGACTAAGAACATTCGACTGACAACGACTATTCACTGGACATTGAAGATGACTTCCGCTCAGGTTGGCGAAACGTTAGTCACCAAAACCGACAACAGTCCTTCTTAGGAATACAATCACCCGGATGATCAAACTACACTATCACACGAAGAGTTTTTGTTACATTACTGTAGTCTTATTCCTCTAACACGTATAATTGGAGATGCCTGCGGCACAGTTGGTTAACAAACGATCGGCTAAAGTAAAGTCTGGGTAGAAGAAAGTGACTCGGGTATATAAGATACTATGACGAGCTAAAATCTATGCACTAAACATTATTGCAGTTGAGTTCTGTCAATTCCTTCCGGTTGCTTCCTACCGAATTTAACAAAATTGTTTTGATGATTTTCTTTAGAAAATACGGTCCGTGTCAAAGAGGTGATGTCCATCAAGTTGGAAATATTGGTGCTGAGAAGCTGCAGTGTTAATTTCAAAAAGGCTATTGTATCTGCCCATGGTATCGGGGATGGGATGAATAAAAAAACAAATCTACTGCTACGCCTGTCATTGGATATCATTGGAGAACACAACCTTAAGGAATTTTACAAAAGTATTCCTTTCTTGTGAGCCATGAAATGGACATTCTTTTGAGATAGACATTCCCTACATAGGATGGAATCAATTAGGCTGCAGGACCCAAATCGTTCGAGCTCGCTCCCCTAATAGGTTGATACTGACATTAAATTTCAGAGGTAGGAATTTCATCATCCATTTGAAGTAAGTTAACATCAGAAACATCGAACGCTTGTCGACTTCAGCATTTTCTCATGTCGTGTGTACTGAGTTATCGAGTTGAACACCCAGAGAGACGAAGAGAAATTCCATGTTCACACGCGCCCGTGTATTGTTATCTATTTATTAGTAAAGTAAATTTGCCACGATAAATAGTTTCTAAGCTGACGTTTAGAGTGTTAGCCCTTCATCAGAGCGAAAAGAAAAATTGCGAGTTGTGTGTGTGTGTTTGCAGAAAATGAGGCTACGTGATTGGCAGTAAAATGGTTACAAGAGAATAAAGATTTCATTTTTCCTTATTTTTCTCGTTGATGATCGTGTGGTCTCATAACCATCGCTGAAGTCGCATGAATTCTAGTTGTTCATCAATAGTGTCAACCAATGCACTCAGAGAATTCCTTTTTTTATTTTTATTGCCACTTAGTACAGTTTGCAAATACAATCTTCCTAGGTACTAAAAAATTAAGGACGACTCCACTTGATAAATGCCAGGTGGCTTTCTCACTCTGGAAATAGAAAATAATTTTTCATCAATTTGACTATATTCTCGCTGTTATTCATCATGCATTCCCTGTGCTTTCTTCACTAACTCTGCTATATATGTGAATGAAAGTGATCCTCGCAGTAATGTGCACTACTTAGGCAGTAGTGAAAATAAGGCCAGAAAAAATTCAGGCCTGTACGGGATTTGAACCCATGACCTCTGCGATACCGGTACAGCGCTCTACCAACTGAGCTAACAAGCCAACTGGGAGCTGGTTATGATGTTGGGTCTAAATAAACCCGTGAAGTGATGAAATAAACGGTTAAGAATATATGAAAGTCATAAATATTTGAACTGGGGATAAAGTTCAAATATATGACTTTCATATATTCTTAACGTCTTTATATATATATGCTATATATGTGATCAATGCTTAACTCACACGAGAGAAGTAAATTTTACTTCCTATGGTTATTTCTACAGCAAACATTTGAAAAAAGAACATTTACTAAAAGAAGCAATTTTATCATCCAGCTGAAGTTACCTGAAGTAATATTCAAGAAAATGTAAAGCAGAGTTTCATTGTAATCTCTATGAATGAAGTCTCTTAAATCATGTGTCAAAAAAAATTTTTTCATCTTTGGAAAAATTAGCTAACTCGAAACCATTGATTTTCATTAAAAAATATATATTTTCTTGTTTTACATGTCACCTTACCAGTACAAGATTTCGATTTGATTTCTTCGATCGTTTCTTTAAGTTTGTCGAAGTCCTCCACCTGCACCACGTTACTTCCACCTGCGATCTGCTTCAGGCTTTTTATATTTATCGTCTTACCAATTCCCACGGCCAATGTGCTAACGTTCTTTTTCTGTTGTAGATAGGTAGGTAGAAATAAAATGATATCAGGAGCCAGCTGATATAGGAGAGTGAGGTATTTACGTCATAACTTGAATGAGGGGCAAGGAAAATTGACCAACGAATAGACAAACTTACTCCCTCAATAAATTACAAACAAACGGGCAGATAGACCTTTAGCTGAACAAATGATGTAAATTCTTAACTGATATGATGATACTTTTTCAAACACCGTCATAAAATAAATTTTTATACGAGCTGCATAATAAAGTACCACCTTTTTAAATTATCAGCACGCTAATTGGTGCCACAAAAAGAGAAAAAAAGGTTAAAAAACATATGGCATGTCAATGAAACCTGAATGGGAACACTCACTTTAAATTCTTTTTCTATATTCGCAGCAAATGCATCGAAACTGAAACTTTTCCCAGGATGTGTTGGCATTCCATCTGTCAATACAATCATGACATTTGGTTTGTCTGGTCTGTCTCCCCCTGCCTTGGTAAACAGCGAGTCTAATGCCAATTTTAAAGCCAGATCGGTGCGAGTATGAAGACGCAGTCTAATTGGCTCATCGGCTATTCTCTTCACGAGAGCTTCCTTGTCATGGTATTTTGAATCCGCAAAGGTAAACGCCAGTTCCGCTCGCTTGTTAAACGTGATGAGACCGAAGTGGTCTTCTTCTGGTGACGGGTGAAATTTCTTCACAAGTTCACACAAGAAGGTGATAACCTTTCTCAGATTAGCTTTTCTGACACTCTCGGATTTGTCGAGTACAATTCCAATGTCGAGTCCAGCTGTGCATGGAGGAGCTGTGGAGGAGTAAAATCTTGGTGATGTACAAAAGGAATCAATTAAACTGCTATGGTTACTCTAACTCTCTATCTATTGTTATTCCCTTTTTTCCCACTTTCCCAGTCTGGCACTATGTCCGAGAAACTAAGCAAGAGTTTTGTTTTTACACTTAGCTGTACTGCGTCTTTCAATTTACTATTACCAAATAATCGGTCCGAGAAAATTGATTGGATTGCAACGTCTTAAACATAACGTTAATCAATGACAGTCTTTTTTTCTCATTGGGTTTCGCAAATAGAACCAGAAGGTTGCGAGTTTGGAGAGAGACGTTAAAGAGATCAAGCAGATTTCTGGTATCTCTTTGATAAGCTCTGAAAATAAACAAGTATAAAATAGTAATTGATTCTGTCTTCGCCCAAACTGCTTCTGCAAGTCTTACGATGGTTTATATACTCACGACATATTGCTTCATTGCATCGAACCGTCTTTTCAGCAGGTCCCAGTTCACTGCAGTCCTTTCCGCCGTTAGATGGCGGAGGATTGGTACAAGTTCTTGTCAGATTTTTTGTCCCTCCTCCACATGTCACACTGCACTCAGACTCAGAAAACTCAGTGTAACCACCATCAATTGCTACACAAACAACCAAAAACTGCAACTTCAGTTGTGCTTATTTACTTCAGTTATAGCATATGGAACAAGTAAACAAAATTTTTTACATCTAAATAAACTCCTCTAACCATAGGTGACTCAAAGTGACACTAAAGATACTTACGACATTCTGCTTCGTTGCATGAAACTGTCTTTTCAGCTGGTCCCAGTTCACTGCAGTTCTTTCCACCGTTAGATGGCGGAGGATTGGTACAAGTTCTTGTCAGATTTTTTGTCCCTCCTCCACATGTCACACTGCACTCAGACTCAGAAAACTCAGTGTAACCACCATCGATTGCTACACGAACAAACAAAATTTGCCACTTTAATTGTGTTTATTTACTTCGGTTATAGCATATGGAACAGGTAAACAAAATTTTTTCATCTAAATAAACTGCTCTAACCATAGGTGACTCAAAGTGACACTAAAGATACTTACGACATTCTGCTTCGTTGCATGAAACTGTCTTTTCAGCTGGTCCCAGTTCACTGCAGTCCTTGCCACCATTAGATGGCGGAGGATTGGTACAAGTTCTTGTTAGATTTTTTGTCCCTCCTCCACATGTCACACTGCACTCAGACTCAGAAAACTCAGTGTATCCACCATCAATTGCTACGAGAAATAAAACAACAACAGCAACAAAAAACAAAGGCTGTTAGTTCAGTTTATACCTTTGCTGAAGTTCTAACATGTGAAACATTTACACAGAAACTTCTTTACATCTAATCAAACTGCTCAACCATAGGAGACTTAAAATGACGGTTAAAATACTTACGGCATTCTCCTTCGTTACATGGAATTGTCGTTAAATCTGGCCCCAGCTCACTGCAGTTCTTTCCACCGCAAGATGGCGGAGGATTGGTGCAGGTTCTTGTAAGTATTTTTGTCCCTTCTCCACATGTCACACTGCACTCAGACTCCGACCACTCAGTGTATCCACCATCAATTGCTACAAGAAATAAAACAACAACAACAACAAAAAAAAAGCTGTTAGTTCAGTTTTACTCCTTTGCTGAAGTTCAAACACGTGAAACATTTACACAGAAACTTCTTTACATCTAATCAAATCGCTCAGCTATAGGAGACTCAAAATGACGCTTAAATACTTACGGCATTCTCCTTCGTTACATGGAATTGTCATAAAATCTGGCCCCAGCTCACTGCAGTTCTTTCCACCGCAAGATGGCGAAGGATTGGTGCAGGTTCTTGTAAGTATTTTTGTCCCTTCTCCACATGTCACACTGCACTCAGACTCCGACCACTCAGTGTATCCACCATCAATTGCTACACAACAACAACAAAAGAAGCATCTCTTATGTTTGTTTTTTCAAGTGATAACTTGTAAAGTACAAGCTCGAACAATTTATTTGTATTTCAGCAAAGTGATTTTAACCTTAGGAAAGATTAGATTGCATCTGAGGAAAAGAAAGCCTCAATGGAAGACTCTTCATTTAGATTAAAACGAACCGTAGGGAGATGAACGCAAAGTTTCTAATGAAGTCAATTTTTTTTACTGTCCACTTTATTATTAGCAAATTGGAACATCGGATATCATACAACTTATCCATAGAAAACTCCTGGTGATAGCTTATTAGACTCAGGAAATCTTCTTTATAAGAATTATGCCTATCACCAGGTTTTGAAATGAAAACGCAGAGTGAAGATGGTAGTTTTTTTTTATCGTTAGTGTAGTCCAGTAGATGAAATATAATTGCCTTCGTTATCAAAACAGAGAGTAGCAGTAAAAACACTCATTACCAGTTATTACCAGGTTTTTAGATGATGATGCAGAAAGAAGATGGTAAGGGTTTTAACGAAAGTGTAGTAATGTAGATGTAGAATTTTTCCTACACAATACACAGAGTAGCAGCAAAAATACTTACAAAATTCTTCCTTTCATCTAAATAAACCGCTCTCACCATAGGTTATTCAAAGTGACACTAAAGATACTTACGGCATCTTGCTTCGTTGCATGAAACTGTCTTTTCAGCTGGTCCTAGTTCACTGCAGTTCTTTCCACCGTTAGATGGCGGCGGATTGGTACAAGTTCTTGTCAGATTTTTTGTCCCTCCTCCACATGTCACACTGCACTCAGACTCAGAAAACTCAGTGTAACCACCATCAATTGCTATACAAACAACCAGAAGCTGCAACTTCAGTTATGCTTATTTTTCTCAGTTATAGCATATAGAACAGGTAAACAAAATGTTTTCGATCTAATTAGACCGCTCTAACCATAGGTGACTCAAAGTGACACTAAGGATACTTACGGCATTCTGCTTCGTTACATGAAACTGTCTTTTCAGCTGGTCCTAGTTCACTGCAGTTCTTTCCACCGTTAGATGGCGGCGGATTGGTACAAGTTCTTGTCAGATTTTTTGTCCCTCCTCCACATGTCACACTGCACTCAGACTCAGAAAACTCAGTGTAACCACCATCAATTGCTATACAAACAACCAGAAGCTGCAACTTCAGTTATGCTTATTTACTTCAGCTATAGCATATAGAACAGGTAAACAAAATGTTTTCGATCTAATCAGACCGCTCTAACCATAGGTGACTCAAAGTGACACTAAAGATACTTACGACATTCTGCTTCGTTGCATGAAACTGTCTTTTCAGCTGGTCCTAGTTCACTGCAGTTCTTTCCACCGTTAGATGGCGGCGGATTGGTACAAGTTCTTGTCAGATTTTTTGTCCCTCCTCCACATGTCACACTGCACTCAGACTCAGAAAACTCAGTGTAACCACCATCAATTGCTATACAAACAACCAGAAGCTGCAACTTCAGTTATGCTTATTTACTTCAGCTATAGCATATAGAACAGGTAAACAAAATGTTTTAGATCTAATCAGACCGCTCTAACCATAGGTGACTCAAAGTGACACTAAAGATACTTACGACATTCTGCTTCGTTGCATGAAACTGTCTTTTCAGCTAGTCCCAGTTCACTGCAGTTCTTTCCACCGTTAGATGGCGGCGGATTGGTACAAGTTCTTGTCAGATTTTTTGTCCCTCCTCCACATGTCACACTGCACTCAGACTCAGAAAACTCAGTGTAACCACCATCAATTGCTATACAAACAACCAGAAGCTGCAACTTCAGTTATGCTTATTTTTCTCAGTTATAGCATATAGAACAGGTAAACAAAATGTTTTCGATCTAATTAGACCGCTCTAACCATAGGTGACTCAAAGTGACACTAAGGATACTTACGGCATTCTGCTTCGTTACATGAAACTGTCTTTTCAGCTGGTCCTAGTTCACTGCAGTTCTTTCCACCGTTAGATGGCGGAGGATTGGTACAGGTTCTTGTCAGATTTTTTGTCCCTCCTCCACATGTCACACTACACTCAGACTCAGAAAACTCAGTGTAACCACCATCAATTGCTATACAAACAACCAGAAGCAGCAACTTCAGTTATGCTTATTTACTTCAGCTATAGCATATAGAACAGGTAAACAAAATGTTTTAGATCTAATCAGACCGCTCTAACCATAGGTGACTCAAAGTGACACTAAAGATACTTACGACATTCTTCTTCGTTGCATGAAACTGTCTTTTCAGCTGGTCCTAGTTCACTGCAGTTCTTTCCACCGTTAGATGGCGGCGGATTGGTACAAGTTCTTGTCAGATTTTTTGTCCCTCCTCCACATGTCACACTGCACTCAGACTCAGAAAACTCAGTGTAACCACCATCAATTGCTAAACAAACAACCAAAAGCTGCAACTTCAGTTGTGCTTATTTACTTCAGCTATAGCATGAAAAATAGGTAAACAAAGTTTTTTACATCTAAATAAACCGCTCTAACCATAGGTGACCCACTAAAGATACTTACGGCATTCTGCTTCGTTGCATGAAACTGTCTTTTCAGCTGGTCCCAGTTCGCTGCAGTTCTTTCCACCGTTAGATGGCGGCGGATTGGTACAAGTTCTTGTCAGATTTTTTGTCCCTCCTCCACATGTCACACTGCACTCAGACTCAGAAAACTCAGTGTAACCACCATCAATTGCTATACAAACAACCAGAAGCTGCAACTTCAGTTATGCTTATTTTTCTCAGTTATAGCATATAGAACAGGTAAACAAAATGTTTTCGATCTAATTAGACCGCTCTAACCATAGGTGACTCAAAGTGACACAAGGGATACTTACGGCATTCTGCTTCGTTACATGAAACTGTCTTTTCAGCTGGTCCTAGTTCACTGCAGTTCTTTCCACCGTTAGATGGCGGCGGATTGGTACAAGTTCTTGTCAGATTTTTTGTCCCTCCTCCACATGTCACACTGCACTCAGACTCAGAAAACTCAGTGTAACCACCATCAATTGCTATACAAACAACCAGAAGCTGCAACTTCAGTTATGCTTATTTACTTCAGCTATAGCATAAAGAACAGGAAAACAAAATGTTTTCGATCTAATCAGACCGCTCTAACCATAGGTGACTCAAAGTGACACTAAAGATACTTACGACATTCTGCTTCGTTGCATGAAACTGTCTTTTCAGCTGGTCCTAGTTCACTGCAGTTCTTTCCACCGTTAGATGGCGGCGGATTGGTACAAGTTCTTGTCAGATTTTTTGTCCCTCCTCCACATGTCACACTGCACTCAGACTCAGAAAACTCAGTGTAACCACCATCAATTGCTATACAAACAACCAGAAGCTGCAACTTCAGTTGTGTTTATTTACCTCGTTTAAAGCATATGGAACAGGTAAATAAACTGCTCTAACCATAGGTGACTTAAAGTGACACTAAAGATACTTACGGCATTCTGCTTCGTTGCATGAAACTGTCTTTTCAGCTGGTCCTAGTTCACTGCAGTTCTTTCCACCGTTAGATGGCGGAGGATTGGTACAAGTTCTTGTCAGATTTTTTGTCCCTCCTCCACATGTCACACTGCACTCAGACTCAGAAAACTCAGTGTAACCACCATCAATTGCTATACAAACAACCAAAAGCTGCAACTTCAGTTGTGCTTATTTACTTCAGCTATAGCATATACAACAGGTAAACAAAATTTTTTATATCTAATTAGACCGCTCTAACCATAGATGACTCAAAGTGACACTAGAGATACTTACGACATTCTGCTTCGTTGCATGAAACTGTCTTTTCAGCTGGTCCTAGTTCACTGCAGTCCTTGCCACCGTCAGATGGCGGCGGATTGGTACAAGTTCTTGTCAGATTTTTTGCCCCTCCTCCACATGTCACACTGCACTCAGACTCAGAAAACTCGCTGTATCCACCGTCAATTGCTTTCAATAGAGAAAAATGAAATGCATGACTTTCATATTATTAGAAAGCTGCAAGGTCATATAAGATACCGTATTTTTTTAAGTTTAACTTTTTTATGGTCAATAATGCCTTAAGGTTTTAGCTCGACGCCATTTTACGATTTGCAATCACTCATTCACCGTTACCTATTAGACACCAAAACCGCCCCTTGTTTTCACTTGCTTGGCTGGTCCGTTCAAATTATTCATATTTGATGTCAAATGACAGACGTACTTGGAGACTGAACAATAACACCGACACCATTTGCTGCGCCCTTTACCACGGATTCTGTTTGCCACGCCCCTGGCCTATTAGTTTTCTGTTTTTCATAAATGTATACAGCTTGTAGGTAACAGTGGTGTGGTGTGATGGTACTTTCCAGATTACCCTAGCACATGTCATACGCTTAGCTTTTCACTTGTGACATTATATAATAAAACCAGCTAATTTACAGATATTCCACATAAATTGAAATCAACTTTAAAAGTAAATACTGTTACATATAAATATAATTTTAAAATTTAAAAAAATTTAAGTTAGGGACATGAAACATAATCTTAAATAATCCCACGTTAAGCTAAGAAGTAAAAAAGGATAATCAAATGTACTAAGAATAGTAGAGCAATATGTAAAAAGTTAGGTTAAAAGGCCCGAAAGGTCAATTTTGTTGGCCTTTAAAGTTCTAACCGTTCTAACTTTATATATGTATTTTGAGTGAACGATGGAGCTTTCTTATATTCAATTTTTTTTCACTCATCTCCCAATTAAATACAGAGGCACCAGTCTATGTATTAAGGCCCATTGATGATTCAAGTACTTTTTATTTCCAATACAGATTGATTAGTTATTTTTGAGCTTACCACACGTTGCTTCTAGAATATCGTCCAAATGTTCAGATAGGTCGTCATAGTCAGGGTACAGAAGCACTTTTCCATTCTTTCCTGCAATCACTGACATTGTCTCCTTTTCTCTGAAAACTCTATTACCGACTCCAACGACAACTATGCTTACACCTTTGCTCTGTGTAAAAACAAGAGAATGAAACCTTATCCAGGTCACAAACTACAAGGCCCTTATTTATGATTCGTGCTTAAGTTACAATCTTCACAAATCTTCAGGATACTTTCTCACAAATCCAAAAGAAAGTTTATAAAGTTTCGTTCAAAAAAAATATCGTGCGAACTTTAAGAGTATATTCGCAAGATTCGTTCGTTTGCATTCTTTTTCTCTAGCACCGTATGTCTGTGCTAGATATATGTTGCAGGATCACTAGCTCCAGTTGGCGGCCTTTCTTTCACATATACCTCTGAAATGTAAATATTTCATTACCGCAGTAAATTTGTTTCGCCACTCGTAAAGGACCTCGTTTAATAGGCCGTGGTGCTCGAATAAAGTATTATATTGGTCTTTGCATCCTCAAGATTTACTCCTGGTGTTTACAGAAAGAAAACACCAAACATACCCGAAATAATCTACTGAAACGGAAAGGAATTTAATCTTTACGGACTCAGATTTGCTATTAGTGAGCACATCCTGGAGGAGGATAGATTACAGGATCCAAGTACTTTCTATCCTTATCTGAATGGGCGGTTGATAAAGAAGAAGTCTAATTTTTTTACCTCCAATACATCTATGGAAGTGCTCAAACGGAATCTTAAAAAAAGAGAGAGCGAACACCTGTCAGTTAAACTGAAATCTATTTTGTCTACCTCCAATACTTTAATGGAATCCTTAAACGGAATCACACGTCGTTTATCTCTCCTCGACTTATAAGGTTTCCCATCTGTAAATATGATTATGAAGTTCTTAGCGTCAGGCCTGTTTCCTCCTTGTTCAGTAAACAACTCTTTGGCGGCAAGATCCATGGCGAGATCTGTGCGTCTTCCCCAGGCCTTGGGTCCCTCTCTTAATTTCTTCTGAACCAAGTCTTTTAATTTGTCTTCCTCGTAGTATGACTCATCGTTGAATTTGCTTTGAATAACGACTTCCATTGCAAAGGTGATAATAGCAAAATGGTTTCCTGATGGGGAAACACCCTTCTTTTCTACCAGCTCATCAATGATTTTTATATTTTTCCTTCGCTCTTGCTTGCCTACACCTCTTGATATGTCTTGCAGTATCGCGATATCCAATTTTTTATCAAGACAGCTACCTACCAATAGATAATATAATCTTTATCAATGATCTATCCCTTGAATGTTCTACATGCGCGGGGAGCAAAAGAGAGCAGAGCTGTGAGCATGAAGATGTTCGCCTATCCATGTCTCAGCATACTAAATATAGCGATATCTCGTAACAACGCTGTGCTACCACCACAGCGAGTCTTCTACAGATGTTACTTGCCTTCGAAATAAGAGTATTATAGTCACTAAGGAGAAAAGTGCAGGCCTCCTGTAGTCTGTTCTCAGCGACTGCATCGCGCACAGCTCTATGGCACTTTCACTTCTACCGATCTAAGATTTTCATGAAGGGTTCAATAGATTGACTTTTGTATTATTTTACTTGATTAATTCGAGAAGCGAATTGTCTCTAAGAATTTGAGATAAACAAACCCAAGTGTTCTCGCTTCAAAAACACCATTGTGGCGGTTTATAACCAGCCAATAAAATCCTTTGATTTACTGCATCGTGCATTGTATTCGATCACCAGAACAACCCCTGTTTTGCACAAAAGTGGTGTCTGCCATGTCAGAAAATAACTGGTTAATTGCATTAAAAAACTGATCAAAATTACGAACCTTCCGGGTGAGGTACAGGCATTTGCATTTCTGGCATTTCTGCAAAGAAAAAAAGAGATCAATTAGTGCAAATCAAAATCACCTTACGGTACCTATTAAAAAGATTACAGTTATACTGATAATAATAAACTATACTAATAACAATAAACGATACTGATAATAACGAGAAGACAAAGAATGTTCCCTTATTAATGGTATATTCAGAAATAAAACGAATGTGACCAGCTAAAAAGCTATATAGAAACCAGGCCCTACTTGACTCAGATCTCTGCAGTGCGCCAACCGTTTAGGCTTCCACATAACGCCGCCCAGCTGGAGTAGAGTAGTTGACTAGATTCTACATTTGGAGGTGGGTTACACCAACTTAACTATTAAACACCATCTTGGACACCATTTTTGTCGGTGTCATTGCTGATTAATTCGGTTTTCCCCATATTTTACATTTTTAACTCATTGTTTTAGGAGCACAGCGATTGAAGACCTCTTAGCCGGTGCCGGCTGCTCTTTTCGAACAAGGAAGTAATCTTTATGAATCAACACGTCTCGCGATGAAGTTTTTGTTTTTCTCATTTATCAAAAAGGATATGTAATCGAAGCAATTTTTCTTCAACAAGACTTTAACTTAACTTTAATTCTTCAATTTAACAAGACTTTCGCTTGTTTCAATCTAACGCGCAGAAAGACGAAGAAGTTGTGATACATTTCTTTTCTTGAACGAAAAACAGATCTTGTTTATAAATCTCCTAAAAAATCCGTCTATTTTAAACGGAATATTAACAATCGTTGAAAGACGAATATTGCTTAATACAAGTTTTTGAACTTCTTTTAAAGGAAATTTGTTTACCATTCAATAATTAATAAAATAATTTTTGAATGATTTAATTGATAAAATGGTTATTCTAAACAGATCGAAAGATAAAGCAATTTAACAAGGACAGCTTACCACAAGTAGCTTTCACGATATCGTCCAAGTGTCCGGGGAGGTCATCAAAACCGGGATACAGAAGGACCTTTCCCCTCTCGCCAGCCATCTCGTACATTTTTCTTTTTGCTCTGAACACGTTTCTACCGACTCCGACAACAATTATGCTCACACCTTTACTCTGTTGAAAGGCAAGGAGTCAATTTTTAACAAGGTCATGAACTGCATGAATCAGTCTTGTATGAACCTTTAAATTTCAAATTTTGTCGTTCAAATTTTGGCACATTTTCGCGATATCTCTGAAAATCAAATTCGAAAGAGAGAATTCAAAGTTTCGCTGTAAATTTCCGTGGAACAATAGACGAAATATCATCAAGTTGGTCTATATTAATTTTCCACAATATTGTGTTGTTACCTCCACGAATGTGTTCAAAAGTTAAAAAACAAACAAACAAAACTTGCTAAAAGAAAAAAAAAAAAAAAAAAGAGCGAACACCTGTCAGTTAAACTGAAATCTATTTTGTCTACCTCCAATACTTTAATGGAATCCTTAAACGGAATTACACGTCGTTTATCTCTCCTCGACTTAAAAGGTTTGCCATCCGTAAACAAAATTATGATGTTCTTAGCACCGGGCCTGTCTCCTCTTTGTTCAGTAAACAACTCTTTGGCGGCCAGATCCATGGCGAGATCTGTTCGTGTTCCCCAGGCCTTGGGTTTCACGTATACTGTCTTCTGAACAAAGTGTTTTAATTTGTCCTCTTCGTAGTTTGACTTATTGTTGAAGTCGCTTTCGATAACGACGTCCTTTGCAAAGGTGATTAGAGCGAAATGATTTCCTGAAGGAGAAACGCCTTTCTTTTCTACCAGGTCATCCATGAGTTTTATCTTAGCTCTCCGCTGCCTGAAGTTCATACTCCTTGATACGTCAGCCAGAATAGCGATATCCAGAATTTGATCATGACAGTCACCTACCGGTTGTAACATTATTATTAATAATTATCCTTTTTTTAAGTCGACATGCACACGAAGTTACTCAATGTGAGGAAACATTTCGCGTCTTGTATGCTGTGCATGGTGGCAGCACAGATTGGCCTTAAACAAACTGCATGACACAATTGATACACTCGTTGGTTTTATGTTGCGTTCAATATTAATGAGAAAAGAGCCAAATAACAAACCTTCTGCCTGAGATAGATCTGAGAATGAAAAAAAAAAAAAAAAAACTATTAATATTAATCATAACTCTCGCAAAAAAACATGATGTGAAATAATGATGCTGATACTGATTATAACACTAATTATAAAAAGAAAATGTGTAGAGTCCTGAAAAAGGTGGTATTAAGAGTCTCGGGGGCAAAAGAAAGTCCAAAAGAGACAGGAAAACAATCTTAGAAGTATTGATGTGCACATTTCAGTATCACTTAAAACAAATGCTACTTTTTAGAACAACTGGAATCTTAACAAAGATGTTAGAAAGCAGAAAAAGTGTTAAAGGTTAGTATGACCGGTGGGCAAATCACGGCGACGTGATACCAAGAGTTACAAACCAGCCTGACGATCTTAAAACCTGTGTACCTATAAATAATAATGAAATTGATAATGACCCTGTATCTATGACAGTCATTAACGTTTGATCGAGTTGTTTAATCTCGCTGATGTAGTCCTGACAAGGACTGCTTTCAGTTGCAATAACTAACGCTTTAACCGCCTTAACGAAAGTTATCACTCTACTCTCGTAATAACTCGCACCCCCGCTAACTCGAATCATTTTCCTTTCCATTGGGAGTTCGAGTTGGCGAGGTTACTTTGTAGATGATAAAAGAATGTTTTTGGCGATCAGGGCTTAGGAAGAAATTAATGCAAAAAAATGCTCTTCACCTGAAGATAGGGCCAAAGTCAAGATGAGACAAACCCACAAAGTTTCCATTATCAAAAATTGGTCAATTTCTGAAAAACAATAACAGTGAACATTAATTTTAAGTGTGACATGCGCGAGCCATGCTTAAGTTATAATTACATTCCATGCATGATGAGCAAAATTACAAATGTAAATGACACCCACATTGAGCAATAACTTTCAGAACTCCCTCAGAACTTCTCTAGTTTTGATTCTACTACATTAAATCCTAAGCGATAGATGCGAGAGCGGTTTGTGGAAATACTAATCGCGAGTTTAAACTTATTCTATCATAATTGTACTGATTTATTATAGGATAACAGTATTTAATGAATACTTAAGAAGCAACGAGTTTAGCACACACGTTTTCGACACATTAGTCTTTCGTGCGACCGCTGATGACCAGAAAGGCATATTTCTAAAACTTTCCACAACGGTCGGAGCCCCTCAAATATTTTGAAGGTTGTTATAATGGATGCAACGAGTGACATGCTTATTATCGAACATTCATTTATATCGTTGAGATGATGTCACACCCACGAGGTGAACCCCTGAAGTCAAGTAGCGTGTTCCCTTTCTTTGCATTTTGTAATGACTACGTATTTTTATCATCAGTTTCTTTTTGCCGTGGGTTCTGATGTGTCGCGAAACTGATGGGAACGCTTTAATAGGTTTATTACTCTGCAGCTGAAGTGCTTCTCACATGCATGGCTCGGTAATTTTCCCACGAATTTTTACTCTTTTCGGGTCGTTAATCATAAAGCAATTAAAATATATACCCTAAGGGTGTAATTGCATTTTCAGGATGCAGCTTTTAAGTTGTTTCTAAATGGTTCCATTATCCTTTATCTCCAGTTATTTGATGGATCGATGCTACCATACTTTTTTGCTAAAAAAATTAGGCGGTCGATGATTTTGAAGCAAAGTTTGATCAAAATTATTTTGACGTTAGGCCAACATAGCAATGCAAAAGCTTCTTACAAGCACGCTTCATTTCAGTTCATTGCCTTAGACCTCTGTGTAAATGAGAATATGGACCATGTTTTTATTCTTATTTTTGAATTACAATCAGTCTCAAGATCAATATTTATGCCCTTATAAACAAAACTCATTGTAGGTAGTTTTCTGTGAATAAGACTAGTCATGGTAAATGAGATCAGAGATGAGATTACCCTTGCAACTTTGCAGCAATTTTAATTCTTGCTGCATGGTTGAGCACATAACATCAAACAGTAATCTAACAGCTGTTTTTAGAGCTATTTTGTCATTGTAACATCAACGTTGGACAACCTAAGTTCCATCCTAAAACGGACTACACGTTGGATTTAGATGTCTTACCTTTAAATTGAAAGCAGGGATCAAGGACATTTCTTAGCAGCACTCATTTGTTGGTCACAACGATATGCTAATGTATACTAGCAATTGTTTATTGGGTTGGATCAGTATTTTATCAGTAACGGAAACGTAATAGAGGTGTTTGTGTAAACGAATAAATGAAAACTCTATCATAAAGTATCTTTCTTCGACAAACCCCAGATGTAGTTTAAAGACTTGTTTCCAATGATGACGTCGTGGCGCCATGAAAGAGATATGTGGATAACAGCCAACGAAGAAGTGGCAGACGAATTCCGTTGTACAATGAACGACTTGCACCCCAAACCAAAAATTTGAAATCGCTTCTAGACGAACAATTTACATTAGTTTTTGGAAGTTAGCGGATTTAAATTTGGCCACAATGCCCCTCCGAAGGAGAGAGCTCTTAAACTCTCAAACTTTACAGCTATGTGCGTCCAATTTCTTTAAATAGCTACCGCCACCAGAATGAAATACATCCACCTTTTAAATAAGATTATTATGCTCAGACTGAAAATAACAGAAATTGAACGGAATAACTGACTTTGTGTAATCTAACTGAAGAATTGCCTAATTGACGTAAAAAAAATAAGCAAAGTAGATATTTAAGAATTAGTAGGACAAGACTACTATTGAAAGAGCATGAGACTCACCTTTCAAGAAAATGACAATACAAATGAGTTACCCCTGAAAAATTGGCATATATATTGTGACTTTTTTTTGGGTTATGTGCTCCTTTTGTTTCAGTCTGATACGAGGGCCCATTATGACGACAATCCTCTCGAACTCGAGAAACTCGCGGTTAGGGTGCGCATCGGTTCGGTGATTCTCTAAGAAATCTCACCGCGGTTATTTGAACAATGAACAAAAGGATGTTCATTTAATTAACTCGGAACACTATATGGAGAAGTGTTTATCTCTCGTGAAATTTGAAAAATAACAGGAGAGAAGCCACCTATTTGCAATATTATGGTATGAGGATGTCAAGGATAATCACCTTCAAAAGTAGTCATTGTATCATGCTGTTTTAACACGATGTTTAAGACTATATTCTTTGTATTTTCTTACTTTGAAGCATTTAGTCGGTTTATAATTGCAACACCTGCCTGTATTGTAAGGCACGTAGTAGAGTCATTCGAAGTAGTCATAATCTAAGTTTTAATGTTGAAAGATTGAATATTTCCTGTAAAACTGTAGTTCAAGCCTGCCATGACTTCAGAACTTTGCTCAAGGTACATTCCTGCGTGGGGACTAACATTTCAATTACATCCGCAAACTGTTATCATCAGAATTACAAGCCGAGGTGCATTTACCAAGTGTTCAAGTTTCCAAATTGGTCTCCTAATTGTTACAGTTAAGTTCACTCCTTTTTAAGCCTATCTTCAGCTGGACCATCCTGTTACACGTGGAAACATCAAATGCTACTCATATATTCCAATAATTGTCTGAATCAAAAGTTATACCTTTTTTGAATAAGCTGCTTCCTTGAATTGTGCTCCAGAAGTAATTAATGGTATTGAAGAAAAAGGGGGAAAGTTCTTGAAGCATTCTAATTTACATGAAAATTCGTTTTAAACGTTAATTGCGGCGGCGACGAAATCATCTGTGAAGCCATACTAGCAATTAAATTTCATGTAAACAACCATGATGAAGCATGTTATGTTACAGTCAAGTTCATTCCTTTTTAAGCCTATCTTCAGCTGGACCATCCTGTTACATGTGGAAACATCAAATGCTACTCATATATTCCAATAATTATCTGAATCAAAAATTATAATTTTTTTTTAATAATCTGCTTCCTTTTATTGTGCTCAAGAAAAGCTAAATGGTATTGAAGAGAATGGAAGAAAGTTCTTGAAACATTCTAATTTACATGAAAATTCACCATGAACGTTAATTGCGGCGGCGACGAAATCATCTGTGAAGCTATGATAACAATTACCTTTCCATGAAAACAAACCATAATGAAGCATGTTATGAATAAATTTAATCTCACCCAGTTTGACTGTAGAATCCAAAATCTAATTAACTCGCAGGTGATTAGGAAAAACGTCAATGTGTTTTTCCTGCTTCTATCATTCTATGTACTTTTTCTTATGGTTATCTATTTTTAATATCCATCTTTCACCAGCTGAAATTCAGAAGTCCTGACATGTATGATTGAAGTATGTCAAGCATTAAGGTTTGACTGTCAATTTGCTCTTCATTACTTGTAAACAGCTTATTTCTGGCAGATTTGAAAATTTCTGTAAGCTACCAGCAACAGGTTTTTCCATTGCAAGTGTTTCAAAAGATCAGATTTTCATTATCTGCTTTCTTAACTGTGCTCCAGAAATAGTAAATGGTATTGAAGAAAAATGAAGAAAGTTCTTGAAACATTCTAATTTACATGAAAATTCTTTATAAACGTTAACTGCGACGGCGACGAAATCATCTCTGAAGCTATAATAACAATTAAATTTCCATGTAGACAACCATAATGAAGCATGTTATGAATAAATTTCATCTCACCCAGTTTGAATGTAGAATCCAAAATCTACTTAACTCGCAGGTGATTAGGAAAAACGTCAAAGTGTTTTTCTTGCTTCTATCATTCTAAATAACACAAATTAATCACTCCACCACGTTAGTGTGATTTTTTTTTGACGATACGTACTTTTTTTCTTATGGTCATCTATTTTTAGTATCCATCTTTTACCAGCTGACATCTGTGAAGAATCAAGTCCTGATATGTATGAGTGAAGCATGTCGAGCATTAAGGTATGATTGTCGATTCGCTCTTCATTACCTGCAAACAGCTTATTTCTGGCAGCTTTGAAAATTTCTGTAAGCTACCACTAACAGGTTTTTCCATTGTAAGTGTTCATAAGATCAGATGTTCATCACATAGTTTTTTACATTTGAAAGTTTAAGTATAGGTTAATGAATACAGTATAATTAAATCAATGAATACAATATAATTAAATCAAACTCCTGAAATTAAGTTGACTACATGATTCAGAAATGCGTAATAACTCTTAACAAGAATGAAAAAGCAATGCCATTTATGAATTTTAAAAAAGTAAATGCCAAAAACGTAAAGATGAAATGGAAAAAACTGCTAAAATATGGCATTTGTATATACTGAGATTTTAAATATTAGATAGCATATACAGAGATATAAAAGAGGCTTTGTAAAAGAAAAATCAGGGCAAGAAGCACATGACATTGACTAGTTCACTGACACCTGCTCACCTGAATTCAATCCGTAAAAAGAACTCTGTAACATGTTTTATCTTCCCACACTTAAATTAAAACATAAAATATAATTATTTGCAGGCAGGTCTGGGGGTAAATTAAAGGCATAGATATATTTTACCTATAAATTAAAGAAACACATTACAATTAAATGGAGCAGAAGCATATTACCTACATGTCTATGCTTCTGAATACAGCTATGATAGGAATTTGTTTACGCCATTGTCTTCACGTGTAAACCGAGTGCAATAGACGGTCGTAAAAGCAATTTTACGACCCATGAAGGGTGCCCTGTGTATCAAATATATCAGGTTCAGTGCCTCCAGAGTCATAAGCCGGGCTTGTGGGGCAAAAAATTATCAAATAATCAACAAGTTTTGCCAGGCCAATTTATCAAGAATCAACCGTAAATTAAGTATAATTTCCTAAAATAGTATGGGGAAATTTAAAATGTGCTTTTCTTTAAATTCCGAGGGTGTGACTCAATAAATTCAAAAGAAAATAACCAAGCAAGTTACAGAAATGGTTCTCGAATTGTAAACTGATAATGCGTTCACAAAACTTCCCGAAATATGCTTTAATGATAGTGCTGATACGAATTTATGGAGGTGTTGCAAAACTACGGATCAGAAGACCGTGGAACCTCCGAAACCTGCGGAACCCTTTATTTTTTGTCAAGAATAATAATGAAATGAAATATTAAACTAAAAAGACCTTAACACCGTTTGAAAGTTGCTTAGGGCTAGGTTTTCGGGTATAAAGAAGATTACTTTACAAGAAAAATGCATTTTAATTATCCTTGACGACCAACTTTAACTGTGGCGACACATACCGCGCAAGGGTATATAGAGTCATAAGGAGCAACGAGCAGTCACCTACCCCGAGTGTTAATAATTGAACCATAATTTGAAAGCTCCAACGTTTTGGGTACCGCGATATGCTAGTAACAGATCATCCAGAGGCTCCTAGAAAACATGGCGGCCTCTAATTCCGTTTTATCGTACATGACGCTGGAGTGAGGAACACGAGCGTAAAGTAACATCATCGTCTGTGATGCATGTCATATTGTTTTTTTGTTTTTTTCGTGTACGCGTTAATTATCCGCGAGTGTTTTTACTTTTAATTGGTTATGTACTTGTGATTGATGTTTGTACAGTTGGATGCGTGATGCTACGTAATTATGCCAAATAATTTGTCAGATTTTGTGGATAAATTTAGTCCTGTGGATGAATTTTTATGTCCACTTATATTTAATTTTTTAAATAAATGATGAACACAATTTCGGGGTGATCGGGGCGTCCGGACTTGCGAATTCATAGCGTTTTGCCTGCAGTGGATTCGTTTGGTTGACTCACAGACATATCTTAGAGAGGATAAGTTAGAGGTCCGCTGATCTGCAGTTTAGAAACATCTAATTTATCGTTCATAATCACTAATGAAATTCCGAGACTGTAACTCAATGACTTCAACAGAAAATATCTAGGAAGGTTTCAGAAACGGACTCGTGAATTTCAAAACGTGCTCTTCAATTCGAAAACTGTGAGCAAAAATTATTTACGCTAACTATGTGCTTACCAGCGTGCTTGCGAGCTCAAATTGCCAGGGCCCGTACCAATACACGATCACAACTCGGACGCTTCTTGCAAAATGGGCTGACTATCAATTTCAGAGATTGATTCTTCAGTTTCTAACATTAAGAAAAAACTATCGTATCGCAAGCAATGTTCATCATAACCCGAGCATTAAGTTTACCTCGAGATGTTGTGCGAAGAGAACTGAATTAGCTCATGTTTTGTGCGACAAACCATTTCCTGAAGTTCGAACGAATCGAAGCCACTTTCTAATTAACGATTTTGTAAAGTATGAACACACTCACCACCTGATTTGTTGCAAAAGATTCACATGAAAAGTAGAAGGGTAGTATTAATTGTTAAAAGAAATTAATCATTTCAAAAGTCAATTTTTTTCATTCTCATATCGAAGAGTTACCAAAATTGTTGATAGAATTCTCGATGAGAGTAAGGATACTCAATCGAAAAAACAACTTTTTCAAAGTAAAACGAATTTACTCTTCTCTAGGATGTTTATTAAGTATCATGTAAAAAATTAATGGAAATCATCAAAATAGCTAAGCTGATTTTTTTAACCGATCCCATCCTGGTCATATAGTATCAATATGAAAGGAAATTAGTTTATTTTTGTATTATGAAAGAAGTCACTTTTATGCAGAAAAAAATATGAAAAGGACTCAAATGAAAATAGTAAATATAATGTGATATCATATAAAGAAAAGTCATTTTCCTTATATCAATGATGATAGCATTTTAAAATCACTAGAGATCCCCGCAATCTGATTGGCTCTCATAGGCGTGATAACTTTAAAGGATGGATTAATTATGAGGATGTTATTAAAACTTTATTAATACTGCATATTATGGTACTGATTGCACTATATCCTTATAGAAAGGAACAAGCCACATTCTCATTAACCATTATGTAAAGTACGAAGACACTTACAACCTGGTTTGTTCCACAAAATCCACATGAAAAGTAAGAGGATAGCATTAATTGTTCAAAGAAAGTAATGATCTCAAAAGTTAATTTTATTCATTCGCATAACAAAGAGTTAGCAGAATATAATTCTCGATAAAAGTAAGAATACTCAATCGAAAAAACAACCTTTTCAAAGTAAACTGAATTCACCCGAACAATATTTTTTGATCAACCGTACTGGCGAGGGTTAATCGATCGTTTAACTGACTGTCTGACCGACTAACTAACGAGACAACGGACAGGCTAACTGGTTGGCTGGCAGGCAGTTGAACCAACTGACTAGCGACCGTATATCTAACTGACAGGATAACTGGCCGACTTACGGACTGGTTTTCCGACTAGCTGGCTAGTTTACCGACTGGCTGAGTGACTGATTGACTAGCTGACAAGCCTGGCTAGTCGACTGATTGACAAACTGACAAGCCTGGCTGGTCGACTGACTGGCTGGCCGACAAGCCTGTCTGGCCTACTGATTGACGAACTGACTGACGAGCCAAGCTGGCTCATTGAATGCCCGGCAGACGGTTCACCTTGAACCTTGAAGAAACAGACAATGGCAGTGACAGTTACTATGAAGTGACGGTGACAAACGCAGAGACAAAGACAGAGACAATGCCAAAAAAGAAGACCTGAAGCGGACTAAGCGGACGTTAGCATTTTGCTATGTGCAGTTTTTCATTTATTTATTTATTTCGTTTGCCATTTCTCAACTGGGAGATCTTGGTCCTTTCTTTATTTTATTGTAGAGCATTGGGATCGCCTGTTTGCCAAAGTTGTTTTGGGTTTCCAAAGGAGACAGATCATTGACAATGGTTTGGTCTCATAACCACAGCCGAAATTGCGATAATTATCATACATTCCTCATCTATAACAAACGCCAATGAATTCAGGGGCATTGCTTTTTTCATATGTTTATTGTTACTAGTAACAGTTTGCAAATACAATCTGTTCTATTTGGAGACTAACTCCACTTGGTGAATCTCAAGCAGGGTTTTCATTCTGGAAAGAGAAAAAACAATTTTCAAGTTAGTTTTCTCATTATTACTCAATACACACTCCCCGTTCTTTTTCCTCTCACTCTGTTATATATAGCCGGGGTCAATGCTTAAAGCTCACGAGAAATTCACATGTTACTTCTTATTGTTACTTGTGCAGCAAACAGGCCACAGAGCAGCTTTCAATTGAGCGTCTAAGACCCAAAACTATAGTAATCGCAATCACTATTATCATCAACCAATGAGAACTCTAAGTGACAACAGGCAACCTGCTTGAGGTGCGGTTAAAAGCGAGTGATCGAGTTGGGGTTGATGTTAGGTTTGCATCTGATTGGTTGAGATGGTGGCGCCAGTTTATTTTGGACCAATCAAGGAGCGAAGTAAAGCAAAACTCCATGCAATTCAGGATCACTTTCGATACTCAACTAAAAACGTTTCTAATCTCAAACAATTGATGTCTAATTGAGAGTAATCGTTTTCTTTTCTCTATGTCACCTCACCTGAACAAGCTTTAGATTTGATTTCTTCGATCGTTCCTTTAAGTTTGTCGAAGTCGTCCACCTCAACCACTGAGCCTCCACCTGCAATCTGCCTCAGGGTTTCCTTTTGCACGTTTTTGCCAATTCCCACGGCCACTGTACTAACGTCCTTTTCCTGTTGTTGAGAGGTGAGCGAAAATAATTGGCGAGATTATTGTGAACTTTCGGATACAATGTCCAGAATATGATTAGAATATACTTATTGTACTCGGGTTGCGAAATGAACTTGACATTTGATTCCTACCCCCACCCCCCCCCCCAAAATGAGTAGTTTAAGTTTTGATTGATGGACAATATCTTTTAAGAAGCATACTCTCCCCAGACTCATGAGGCCGAATTTGCATATGGAATCTCCATATAATTCGTTCCTTTGCTACGTATATCCACGAGTAAAAATTGACATCTGGCGCCAGCTGATGTAGGAGATGGGGTGGTATTTACGCTATGACATAAATGGGGAGCACGAAAAATTGACAGACCAACGACCTGCCTTTAGCCTACACGTACTACCATAGTAAATTTCCTCTATACGACTGAAATTAATAATGATTGACACTTCCAGTAAATAATAACTCACTTTAAATTTTTTTGCTAGTTTCTTAGCAAATTCCTTGAAGTTGAAACTTTTGTCAGGATGTGTTGGTCTTCCATCTGTTAATACAATCATGACATTTGGTTTGTCTGGTCTGTCTCCCCCTGCCTTGGTAAACAGCTTGTCTTTTGCCAATTTTAAAGCCAGATCGGTGCGAGTTTGAAGGTTCAGTTTTAGTGGCTCATTGGCTATTCTCCTCAAGAGATCTTTCTTGCTATGGTATTTTGAATCTGCAAAGGAAAACGCCAGTTTCGCTTGCTCGTTAAACGTGATGAGGCCGAAGTGATCTGCTTTGGGTGCAGGATTGAATTTCTTGACAAGGTCTCCCAAGAAGGTTATAACCTTTTCCAGGTTAGGTATCTTGATACTCTTTGATTTGTCGAGTACAATTCCTATATCAAGTCCAGCTGTGCAGGGAGGACCTGCGAGAAAGCGAAAAAAAATTCCCATCTTTCATACTCCATTTACAAAGCGAAATCTTGTTAATGTTAAAATTTCTTTAGAAGAATCGATGAAATTTCTATATGTATCATTTAACTCTATATCTATTATTATAATAAAGTTCATATATAACGCAGGTCATTGGTTGAAAGAGCGTGCTCTGTAAGAGGATGGAGCATATAGAGCTAAGCTATAGCTGCCATCTGCCGAATTGTACTATGTCCGACCCTTTCCGGGACTTCTCTCCGGCTTTTTTTCCTCAGTTGAAAGTGAAATTTCGGATCAAGCGAGCAGGCAACAACCAAACAAAGGTTTGAAAACATGCCAGGCACCATTATTTGCGTTATAATAACGTGAGCAGAGACGAAAATCCCCGGAGAGAAAACGAGATGGACAGTCCGAATTTTGAAAGTTTTCACGCTCAATGAGATTGCAAGCTTACGTACGGTAATAAGAATAAAAAACAGCTAACACTCGTATAGTGTATAAATTTTCGTGTTCAAAAACAAAACAGGAATCATGAAAAATGCAGCAAAACTAGCATAATTGTTAAAATTCATACTAATCATGACGGTGTCAGAGCGACTGCAATCATGCTGACATTGAGGATCATCTCTGGACATCGCAGTCAGTGAAGCATACCTCAGAAATTACATCGGCCACCCTTCGAGTGAACAACAAAGAGCTTGCTCTGATGTCCTTTCCAATACATTGAGTGGAAGGCCACATCAGTCACTGCAGCCGATTTTCACGGCGCTTTCATACCGTGCAATCTTCATGTTCCGTTGAATCCGGCTGTCTTCATTCATAAAACACTCGCCTTGAACAGCTTGTTTTCCTAATTGTTATGTGAAAACACTTGCGTGTTTTTATAAGCCACAATTCGACCGGATTTTACTTAACATTCTACTGTCAGATTGTGTATTAGAGACTAAAAAACTTCAGGCAAAAGTGTTAAATTCGACCAGCCGAACTATTTCAGTTTGTAAACTAATGCTGAGTGTGAGCTTTGATTATTGGACCTTTTTGACAGCTCTAACCTTGTACAGCCAATCAGGTTATTTAAATAATTCTAACAGGGATTCTGATTGGCTTATTGTAGCGTACGTTGTGAGAGTTTATAGAGCATGCTGACGACACTATTGCTCGCTTTGGAAATAAAGTTTGTTTTGAAAACTGAAAGTAATGCAGGGGGAATTTAACGTATTCTTTATTATAAAACCAATAGAGAAGCCTTGACATGTGCTCTGTTCTGATATAAAGCACTTAGGAAGCGGCTAGAGCACCCGAGAAGTGGAAAGAAACACTCGATTACGTCTCGTGTTTCTCCTTACAATTCTTTCATGCTCTAGCCGCTTCCTGCGTGCTCTAAGAAGAGGGCACAGTTAAGGCTTCTCTATTTGCTAATCAGGCCATGCTCGTGTTTTCAATCTATTCTCTTTCTTTGTAGAGAGCCCCCCCCTGTCCGAGAGGCTGAGCAAGGTTTATGTTTCTCCTCTTATCTGCACTGCATCTTTCAATTTACCATTATTAAGTAGTCTAAGGAATTTGATTGCGCGGCCACATCTTTAACACTTTTTAAACTTTTGTTCTGGTGTAGATTAATGTGTTTGTTTCTAATGTGATATAAATGAAGGCGTTCGTTAGAGGTTGTTCTTTCCTTGACTTTGAATGAATGTAGGAAGCGTAGCAAGGCAAAACGAAATCTGATTCGAAAACTGAATTTGAAGAAGTAAAATGTTTAAGTTGATGTGTGTTGAAGGGTAAAATAGGTAAAGTCGGCTTACAAGCCTAGTGATCCATTTGGCCAGTGAAAATACAGGCCAGCATGAAATTAGGCCCTTCTCCTCACCCCCTCCCTTTCAAGCATTTTTTTCATTTTTTCAGGCCCCCTTTATGGTTCGCCAGTAACTATTTATACACCACGGTGGTGAAAGGCTTTGTGAGAGTATGACGCCCAAAAACACTTTGACCCACATCATTAGATCCGGAGTCTGGTGAGTCTATTGTTAAGTCACCACGCTTCACACTCTTGACGCCTGTTCAACCAAGGTTTAGATAAGTTTTAAAAACAGTATACTGGCAAACAAAAGACAGAATCAAGTGAAATAACGATGTGATATATAAGTGCGGTCGCAGGATGAAGCAGATTTCTGAAATCTTATTTTTAAGCTCTGAAGTTGTTACTGAAGAATCTTTTTTGAAAGAGGAAGAATACTCACGACAGAGTCCTTCGTTACATTTAACTGTCTTCTTAGCTGGGCCCAGTTCACTACAGTCCTTTCCACCGTTAAATGGCGTGGGATTGGTACAGGTTCTCGTTAGTGTCTTTTTCCCTTCACCGCACGACACGCTGCACTCAGATTCAGACCACTCAGTGTATCCACCGTCAATGACTTGTAGGAGAGAAAATAACAGTAAGATTTTGACTTGATTAGGAAGCTACTAGGGCAAGATAGATGTGAAATCTTTCAACTGAATACACAAGCAATAATGCACTCAAAATGTTAAGTTATACACCATTTCACGTTGTTTTGTCACTGATGTTTATTCATTACGTCCTAAATCGACGATCTAATTGCAGTCGCTCAGTGCCGGGATTGAGTCAAATCATTCAGGCTTGACATACCTAGAGACTACGTTGAGACATAAAATGGACATTATTTATGGCACTCGTCATTACTACCTTTATTTTCCTCTACCCTTCCTTTTCAGCTTTCTGCTCTTAACGAAGTACGGAACGTCTATTAGGTAACTAGATAGGCTACTTAAAAGATTGACTCTCTATTTGCAGTAAACGAATGATCTTTTTTAAAATCATTTGATATCTTCTATTCGTTAAATGCAGTGGGATAAGTTTATGTTCAAAACTACAGATTTTTCGAGCTTCTCTTTTTTCGAATGTAAATTGGACCGCGATCTTTCAACCACGTAATCTTTACTTGAAAAACTTTACTGGCATCTCTTTTGAAAACTTTGGTCGATACACATAAATTTAACAAGGAGAGCTTACCACACGAAGCTTCTAGAATATCTCCCAACTGTCCGGAGAGGTCACCAAACTCAGGGTACAGAAGCACTTTTCCATTGTTGCCTGCAATCTCTGACAACGCCTTTTTTTTTTTATAGACGTCTTTACCGACTCCCACGACAATTATCCTCACGCCTTTGCTCTGTCAGAAAAGGGTGAAACCTTATCAAGGTCATGAATTTCTAGATTGCTGCATCAGATTTGTAAGGAAGTTCATAACTACGATCATCTTCGAGACTGTTTTATCTAAATTTCTAAGGCAGATTACAAAATTTCGTGGTAGATATCGCACGAAGTTTATGAGAACAATACAAGAAATCTGACGAAGTTCGTTTGCATTTTTTTTACTTAATATCTTTGTTAAACATGTTTAGCTTTGGTAGGTGTCTTACGGTCACAAGCTCTGTTTGGTGGTCTTTCCTTTAAATCCTTTTTGAAAATGTAAATATTTCGTCACTGTCGTTGCTACACGGGTGTGCATCCTGTAAAAGGGAAGACTACTAAACCCTGGTGCTCTCTATCCTTATTTGAATGTAAGATATATGAGAAGAAGAGAGCACCAAATTTTACTGAATACATCAAGGTATTAAGGTGAACTTCAGAATTCAATTATATTTACCTTTAAAACTTCTAACGAATCCTCAAACGGTACATCAGGTCGTTCATCCCATTTTGACTTAAAAGGTTTCCCATCGGTAAACATGATTATGAAGTTCTCAGCATTAGACCTGTCTCCTCCTTGTTTGGTGAACAACTCTCTCGCGACGAGATCCATGGCCAGATCTGTTCGTGTTCCCCAGAACTTAGGTATCACATTTAATTTCTCCTGAACTAAGTCTTTCAATTTGTTTTCCTCGAAGTATGACTGATCGTTGAAGTTGCTTTCGATAACGACCTCCTTTGCAAAGGTGACGAGAGCAAAATGATTTCCTGATGAGGAAACGCCTTTCTTTTCCACTATCTCATTGATCAGTTCTATCTTCTTACTTCGCTGCCGCCTGTCCATGCTTTTTGATACGTCGGCCAGGATTGCAATATCCATCTTTTGATCAGGACACTTACCTACCGATGATATCATTTTTATCAATGATTTGTGATTTGAAAATTCGACTGCACACTTATTAACACACCCTGAGAGAGTAAACGGCTGGCCTGCATGCCGGTATAGGTGTTGTAGTATAGCACGTGCACTGGTCTCAACTAACTATCATGGCATTTATCCCTTCATTGTATAGATATCGAAAATGCACCCGAAAAAAGCGGTTTTATTGAGAATTGTTTTCACTCCAGCGCAGTCCTGTTTCAGATTTCAAGGTCTTTGCTTAGGGTTATCAATAACTACGCGATAAACTGAAATGTCATGCTTGGCTTTCAACTACACGGTTCGATAAAATCTGTGGTAAGAGATATTATTAACACTCCAAGATTAAATTCAAATCCACGCGCATTCGTGTAATATCTTGTCTGTGTTATTTCCCGAGCAGCCAGCAGAAGTTATCAGAGCCGTACACATTAGGGGATTCGCCCATCCACGTCCCAATTCTTAGAGATGTTCATTTAGTACGCTACCTACGTGCTGGTCGCTATGTAGGAGAGTACAGAACAATTTTAAATTCATTATGAAGATTCAAAAGCCCTTTAAGGATGTATTACTTCTAACACGCCACGATTTCTACTTGAGTTTGGATGTATTGATTAATCAAAGAAGTGAATTGTCTCAAAGAATTTGAGATACACCAGCTGAAAAGATCCAGCTTAAAAATACCCGTTTTAATCAGCCAAAAAGATCCTTTTGTACTCTATATCGTGAATTTTCTGATAATCGTATTCAATCACCATTGGGCTACTTGGGAAAAGAACTGGTTCTACTAGCAAGCGTTTATTGAGGGTTGCTCTCGACTATCCTTCTTCAGCCGTACTCTCCGAACTCCCTAAGTGTATCAATATCCAAGTATACACATGTCGGATCAATATCAGTATCTGGGCAACTGCCCACCTACCACTCCCTTAACTCAACAACAGTCAATTGACAACGAGTTAAGGTTAATGTTGGGTTAAGGGAGGGGTAGGTGGGCAGTTGCCCAGATACTGATATTGATCCCACATGTCTATCACTTTTTCTATACTGATGGCACTCGTCAGCTACGAAACACGTAGCATCTAATTTACGCCGAAAGAAAAAAAACGACGAAAATTACACACCTTCCGGCTTAGGTACAAGTGTCTCTGAAAAGAAAAAAAAAGATGTAGTTCAGATAATCGTCTCTCGATAATCATTAATTGTTCACAATTCTAATGCTAATAATGATAGCGATAACGTTAAGATAATGACAATGACAACTACTACGATAAAAGAAGAATGTTACCCTCGTCGATGATGTACTTAGAATTAAGACATAGATCACCAGCTATGAACCTACTTCTCGCATATTTTTTAAATCAGGTCGAATTGGGACTCAATGAGCTAACCCATAGGCCACCTCATTATTCCCTAGTTGTATCAGAGCTGTCTATTAGTGTTACCTTTACAAATAGTATTTGTAAACTAAATCCTTGAACATTCTTGTTCTCTCAAACTTAAGGCCGTTTCCTGGGTGATGACCATCAATTAAAACCAGGATATTAGAAACCTCGCAGTCTTGAAAAACTGATCGCAATTGTGACGTGCATGGCGAAAACGTTTCTGAACGTTTTTCGTTAAACAGGTGATAAGAAGTAACTGATGGTTTATTGTAACAGTTATTGACATGAAAAGCGTTCCCACAGTTTGTCCCACTTAAAACGCTCTAATGGATAGGTAGCCTGTTGTGCTATGTAACCCAACAGCCTAAGTTATCAAACGGTCGGTTAAACAAAAAATGACAGAATATTGAGATTGCTTCAAAAGTTAAACCAGCGGGTGAGTTCGTTTAACGGATAGCCCAACCCCGGACGGCTAACTGAAAGTGAAGGCTAATGGCCTTTACGCGGGAAAAATTACTATTTAGGTATACTTTCTCCTGGCGCAGTCACAACTATTCTTAACTCACTGAAAGATTAAACAAATAGTAAAGACAACTTACCACAAGTAGCTTTCACGATATCGTCCAAATGTCCGGGAAGATCATCAAAATTGGGGTACAGAAGGAGTTCTCCCTTTGGCGTGCCAGCAATCTTGGACATTGTTGTTTTTTCTTGAAATAATTTTTCACCGACTGCTACCACAATTACGCTCACATCTTTACTCTGTTGAAAGAACATAAGTTTAACTTCATCAAGTTCAAAAACTGACCCGAAGCATCAATCTTAAACCGGTTCAGATAAACTGATTTAAATTTAACTCTTTTCGCGTTTTCTCTTTGAAAGTCAAATTCAAAAGAGAGTAAACAAAGTGTAGCAGTCAGTTATATTACCTCTAATGCCTCCAGGAAATCTTCAAACGGTATATCAGGTCGTTCATCCCACTTTGTTTTAACAGGTTTTCCATCCGTAAACATGACTAGGACGTTCTTAGCGTCAGGCCTGTCTCCTCCTTGTTCGCTGAACAACTCTTTGGCGGCAAGATCCATGGCGAGATCTATACGTGTTCCCCAGAACTTAGGTATCACGCTTGATTTCTCCTGAACTAAGTCTTTTAATTTGCCTTCTTCGTAGTATGACTGATCGTTGAAGTTGCTCTCAATAATGACTTCCTTTGCAAAGGTCATGAAGGCAAAATGATTTCCTGAGAAAGAAACGCCTTTCTTTTCCACCAGTTTATTGATCAGTTTTATCTGATCACTTCGCTCCTCAGGTGTCATACTTTTAGATACGTCAGCCAGAATAGCAATATCCATCTTTTGATCTCGACAGCCACCTACCAGCCGTGACATTGTATTAATACTTATGTTTAATAAGGTCGACATAAACACCTTGTGTCTGTTCTGTTGCGCGTAACCACAGCTTAACTAAATGTTGCCCTAAAATATAGTGTATGACGTAAATGTATGTCCAAGAAACTCTTTAGATATGATATGTGTCGCTAATGATTTAATAAAATATACATAAACGTAAGGAAAAGTGTAAAATAACAAACCTTCTGCCTGAGATAAATCTGAAAGAGAGAAAGGAATCAGAAACTGTCAGTTATAACCCTCCCAAAGATAATGTGAAATAACCATTATAATGGTCGCAGGATAGTTTGACCTGTGGGTAGCCTTACGCCTGAAGTGAAACAACCCGTTTAGAGATGTTAAATTGGTGTAAAAATGAAACCTGATTATAATAACGATACTTATAATTATGAAAACGATCGTGTAATCTGATCGTCCGAATGAGTGTATTCATCAGAACGACTGCTTTCGGACAGACTGTCGGAGGTAGCGAAAGACGTCTCGACGACCTTAATAGAATTCTTCAGTCGTTCACTAATTCTGACAACAGTTCTTCCTAAGAATTTTCTTATTCGGATGATCACGCTTAAAGCTGTGTTCAAATAATTTACTGAATGAAAATGACAAGGGCAAGGAAAAGGACAATGGCAATAACAATATCAGTGATAATAAAAGGAAGTTCATTGTTATTTGAGGCTCTAAACGAAATAGGTGCACATAAATGCTTCCTACCTGAAGCCAGGCTTAAAGTTAAGATGATACAAACCCAAAAAGTTTTCATCATCAGCGAGTGCTCAAACTCTGGAACACAATGACAATGAGTAGCAAATTAAACAAGTTAAAGAGTAACGCTGGACCAAAATGAATCTCCAGTTATAATCCGCTAATGCATAGAAAAGATTAAAAATGCTAATTATATCCTCAGTTGGTGATAATTTTCATAAGTATCACAGACGTTTTCTGCTAATTCAGTTACGCTTTATTGCCGAGCACACCGAAGACGTGATGTTTATAAGCCTTTAAGTTTAAACGATAAACTGATGAAAACTTTATAGGATTACTCATTGCGAGTTTCAAATCATACCATTGTAGATGCAATACTTTAATGATATCGAACGATATCTAATGAAAAAATCAGAAAGGAAGAATGAATTACTGGCACGCAGCACGCTTTTGTCGACACATCTGTCTTCGACAAAAAACTAATGTACTAGTAAAAAACATTTTTAAAATCTCTATAACGGTCGGAGCCTTTCAATTTATTTTTAAGGTCGCTGAATAAACGAAACAGGTTACAGAGTAACGACTCATCATTGTCGGTGAGATACCTACCTAACGAGATGTGTTACTGAAGTATAGAACGATTTCAATTTATTAGCACTTTGTGCTGAACATGTATTTTTAATCATCATTTCACATCCGCCTTGGTTGTGATGAGGCGCCAAGATGATGCAAATGCTTTTATCATACATTTTTACTCCGCGGTCGGATTGCGTTCCACACGGAGCGGTGACTTTCCAAAGAGCTCTCGGGTCGTTGATTACGAACCAAAGGCTGATTAAGGGTGTATTAGCCTTTTTTAGGGTGCAGCTTTTAAGGAGCCTCTAAATGACTCCATTAGCCAGAAATTCCGCTTTTTTGATAGATCGATACTATCATACCTTTCCGTTTGTTTCTTATGAAGTACAAACCATATGAGAAAACTAACTCAGTTCGCAGCAAATTTTGATCGTAATTTATTTTGATGTGATGCCAGAATAGCAACGCTACAGCTTCTAAGAAACACCCTTCACTTTAGGTTTATGTGCCTTAAACCTCCCTGTAAATGAAAATAGTGACCAAGTTTCTTGCATGAATTACTGGATTACAATCAGTGTTGAGTGCAAATCAATGTGGATGGTTTTCGGTGTAAGTGGCCAGTCATGATAGTGGGATGGGATTATATTCAAATGATTTGTGACTTTGCGACAGCTTTACAAATTGAATTTGTACTGGTTGATCACTTAACAGCAAACCCTCCGACCTATAAACTTCTTTCAGTGCTATCATGTCACGGTAACATTTATCATTGGCCAACCTAGTTACAACTGCAATAAAATTTGGATTTTTTCCCCTTATATTGGAAATCAAGGAACAAGATAATTTCTTTGTCACTCATCAACAGTGTTATCCATTATGCTAATGTAAAAGCAATCGTTTGTTGGACTGGAACACCATTCAATAGATAATGCAAACTTTTGTTGGTAAAAAAGAGTGAAAGCAAATGCACTTGTGAAAATTCTCTCTTTGAACACTTCTCTTCGATAATGGTTGCCTCGGCGCACCATTTAAAGGATGAGAAAATAATTTACAAGCTTTTCGACGGACAATTAACCTTAGTGTTTGGAAGTTAACTCAATTAGTTTGGGCGACTGAATACTCTGAACTTCTGAAGTCAAGACCTACGGGTGTTCAATTTCTTTCTAGCACTATTACCGATAGAATGAAATATACTTATTTTTAAAAACATAATTTTGTGCTACACTCGTTGAGAAGACAGTAGAAAGAGAACTGGATGACTGACTACTTGAAGCAAACTGAAGTGTTGCTGAGTTCGCTTCACTTTATTTAGCCCCAGTTTATAGTTTTTAGAAAAAGAAAAATCTCGTACTCGGCATCTTGAAATCGACCGAAAAAATGATGAGTAAAGTTTATATTTCATGGTCAGTCTGAATAAAACCGTTAGCGAAAGAGCACGAGACTCACCTTTCAAGATGTGATGGCTGATTGTGCCTTCAGTAAAACTGTGCAGATGAGTTCCCACTAATAACAATTGGAAAGTTTCTCCAATTTATGTGAATTTACGATTGTGTTATCTGCTCTTATTGTTTGGAAGCGTAGATTTGGTCCCATAATGACGAAAGCGCCTTTTAACCGTATTAACCCGCATTTGGGGTGAGTACCGGTTCGGTGATTTTCAAAGAAATCTCATTCTATTTAGTTGCCCACGAAACAAAAGGGTATTTGTTTACTTAAGTCAAAAGGCTATAAAGAAAACTTCTAGTCCCAAGTGAAATTGAAAAATAATAGGACAACCCCCACTAGTATGTATTATTTAGTAGCTCGAAAAAGATAACAACAGGGATACTGTGAATTTATAAGGTGTGTAAACAGTGATCATTGGAAAGGTTCGTTGTAAAGACAACCTCTCCGAGCCAATCATATATCTGAATGTGACCTCCAGTCACTTTGACCAAAATGAAACTGAAAAGGATGGCCTTGATTCCGTGTGATGGTTCGCTTAGGGCCTTTATGAGAAGAACAGTGACTTTAACATCCCATTTCGACCAAATAAAACAACAGCTTTATTCATCAAGGGATTATGTCATAAATTCATTCACTAACTTTTCGCTGACGTCGTGTTTCTGTATCGGGTACTGAATAATTATTTCGTTTTATCACATAAACTGCGGTGTTCAACAGGGATTTCCGGCCCTGAGAAAAGCCGTAACAACACACGTGAAAAAAAATCGTATTTTCTCACGTGTGTTGATATTGCCAATCAGCAGCTGACACGTCACTCGCCTTTGGCGCCACTCGGTCAAGTCACAAAAAGAAAAACCGAAAATTACGTATTCAGTGGCTTTGGTGTTGGCATTTCTCGCGGCTGAAAATGAAAATCGACAACTGGAAGATTTACCACTGGCCGACTTTGCCCGTTTACCAGAAAGACTTAATCTGTCGGTAAGGACAAAGTCAATAAATGAGAATTTTGTAAATTGAAAATTAGGACCATTGTTGTTTTTGTAATCATGATTCAAAAGCTTTTCCATCTTAAGAGTTAGCGCCAACTCACTCTACTATTGTTATTTGGGGTTGTCGATTCATTTGTTTTTCTTCATTAATGAAGTCGGCTTTTCTTCTCAGTAAAGGGCTATTGTGTTTATATGATAAACAAAATAATACATGGTTGCTTGTAGATATGAAATTGTTCTTCTCGTGTTGAACTCGACATCTCACTCGTTCGCTGCGCTCATTCGTGAGCAATCGAGTTCAACGCTCGAAGAGAAATTCCATATCTACGCGTGCCCATGTATTATTCTCTATGCAACGAGTTAATTTTATAAATGAAGATGAGAGTGATCTTCGCAACAATGAACACTAATTAAGCAGAGGGCAGAATGAAGCCTGAAAAAAAATTTTTTAGGCTTTATTTTCACTACTACTTTGAGGCATAATCCGCAGTCCAAATATATAACATTCATATATTCGCAGTCGTTAAGTTGTTAATTGAGATGAAGACCAACCGCAGCAAGAGAAAAATAAGTCTGTTAACTAACCATACATTTCCAATACACACTGTGCATCCGACAACCCCTTTGACTACCAAGGAAAATTATTCCTTGGGCTTAGGGATCGGTTAAAACCAGTGCTGTTACAGCAATGGTCTTTGCAAGGCTCCGATGTGGTAGGAAAAAGAGCGAATACATTCACTTTTTTTTTATATGTTTCAAATATGCGTTGCAAAAACAGCACCGGATGCAGTTAGCAGGAATTGCTTAGTTTTACGGTTTTTCCGTTATCCCTCCATAAATTTTACGCCCTAATGAAAAGAGACGATTTAATAACGTTACTGCCATGTAGAGTTACTTTGAAACTTTCTTTGATCGAGGTTTGCCCAATTTGTTTTCCTTCCAGGAAACTGACTTTTGAGGAAAGTTTATTTTCGATCAATTCGACAAAATCAATAAAATTGATCATGCATAATGAAAACCCTAATCGAGTTCATTGATTGCCGACCCAGGACTATAGTCAATTTTTAATTCTTAACGTCTGGGATCAGAGCCAATTTAATGAATTAACAGAGAGGAGAAAATATGGAACAAACTCATCTTATTTAGAGCCAATCTTGCTCCTCCAGATCGACTGAAAAGCTGCTTTGAATCCTTACACCCTGTTAATACCAGTGAAGCAGGCAAGAATTCCAATCTGTCGCCAAACGACACTGTGTTCCTTTAAAATGCCAAAAAGCTCCACATTTTATTGTTTTATAATTTTTTCAAATTTTTGTAGTCCTTCTTATGAACATCTTAGTATTTAACAGAAATCAGACTGAAAATTCAAGCTTACGTTTGGCGAAGAATACCATTTTTAACCAAAGAACGCCTTTTTCATAGTTTATATAGTATATAAATATGGAGACCACTTTGATTCATTTGTGGCAGGCAGCTTTTTTTTAAAATAATTGATGATGTTGCACGATAAATTTAGGTATTCAAGCTTGAGAATATTACCAAAGCTGCCCTGTGGCGTTTTTTCGCCTGCTTGTTATCCGTGCGCTAAAAGTTGATCGAAAGTGATATGGTTCGTTGAATATTTCTATGGTATTTACTCAGCTTATTAACTTAGAGGGAACTTACACGATCTCATATTCTCTCAATTTTTTGGTTTCATTTTTAGTAGGAGCTTGCCCGCCCGCCTTTCTTGATTAATGTTCAATGTTTTGACTGAGTTAAAAAATGATATTCATTCACCGTTGGCCAATTATGACAGGTAGCAGTAACGCTAATGGCTAATCGATTATCCGATTAAATTACTCTACCCAGAGCGGAGCCAAAATAATAGCTTAGCTTATGTAAAAACAAATAACTTTAAGGTAAAGCCATTTATCCATCAAAAGGTGCCCAAACACTTGGCCAACTCGAACAGTTAATTTCAATATAACATCTGACAGTGTTTACTTACAAAGCAGATGACAGTATTACAGAATATTTTTACTAATGTACCATTACTATAGCAGGAAATTATACTGTTAGAGTACTCTCACTGGTTGGCTGAACAATTTTTTTGACACCTGCAGTTATATTCGGTGAGTCATAACCAAGTTAAGAGAATCGGCTCTTTCAAACGTCTACAGGTGTTGTAAAAAAAAAAAAAAAAAAAATCAAACAAAAATCAAACAAAAAAACCGCATGCTTCTTAATGAAATCCAGAATTGCATTCCGCATCATGAAAAGTACACAGTCATTACAGTAGTTGTTGTATGTTTGTCTTCGGTAATAAAAGATAACTTTTGAACCACTCCGGCTTATGTAAACGCGTCGACAAAGAGAAGCGATAGGTAACCAAGGTCTTTTTTTGAGCAGTAAGGAGCTTTTAGTCCATTAATGTAGCAACTTAAATAACTATATTGATTTTCTCAACATCCTGGATTACAATCGGGTGAAACATCAAGGGTGACGAAAAAATGGAAACCTGGTTTTGGATTGTTGGCTGGTTTCTTTCCATTCTGACGATAACAGGGAATGGATTTATTATCTTCCTTGTTACTAGCAAACGAAATCTTCGAACTAAAACCAACGCGTTTGTCGTTTCACTCGCTCTGGCAGATCTCTGTGTCGGGATAACAGTGGTTCCTACATTGTTTGTCTGCAACAAGGTGGCAGGTTGCAACTCAGAAGATAACATGATGTACATTGTTAGAAACTTTTTCGCCTTTGCGTCCGTGATGAACTTGTGTAGCTTGGTCCTGGATCGCTTCATTGCCGTTGTTCAACCTTTAAGATACTTGAGTCTCATGACACGTCGCCGTATCATCCAAATGCTTTCCCTATCTTGGTCACTTCCGTTTGTATCTCGAGCATTTTACGCATTGCCACAATTTGTTGAAAGTCCATTTCGCCTCAAGCTTCTTAGTATCTTAACTCTAACCATCTTTGAATTCCTTCCAACTATCATATGTGTGTTTTGTTTTCTATCTATGTTACAAATTCTCTGTAAACATGATCAAACAACTCGCTTGTTAGCAAAACAGTTAAGTTTCAACCATAAGTTTTCTCGTAAGAAAAGGGAAAAGTCAGTTGTTCTAATGACGGGAGTAGTGGTAGGAATATTTCTCCTGTGTTACAGTCTTTACATGCGCTGTACTTTTGTGTACTTATTCAGTGACGGTCCAAAACCATGTAATGATGTTTACTATAAAATCCCTATTTTAGTGCTAAACTCTGCCGTCAACCCATTAGCTTACTCTTTCTTTAAGAGAGACGTAAAGAAGGAGATTAAAAGACGAATTTGGTGTGCAAAGTAAAACCTAACGGGAAGAGTGATCAAAATGAAAATGAGAGGCACATGTTTGCAGCTGCATTCACTACCACTTACAATAGTACAAGTATCGAAAAACTTAGTAAACATTAGAAGTAATTTGATCTATCTCCTGAATTACACTGTAACTCAGGCCAAACAAACGACAAAGAGTGCAAGAGAAACAATAGAAAACCTTCTTCCTCTGGTAAAGTCCTCAAGTTAACCAAGGTTAACGGCTCTATCATGCTTTATATCTTAATCAAGAGAGGAGAAAATTAGTACTTCGTGTTAAAGATGCTTGTAGAATTCAGTCGAAGTAGTGCTTATGGCAAATGTAACGTGTATGTCCGGCGATATCAACCCCGAGTTATTAAAGGTAATTGAACTTTAGGACTCAGCAGATAATAGGCTGACAAATAGTGTGGGGCTTTTTCGATATTCCGACTGGTTCCTGAGAAAATCTATTTCTAAGTTTGACGAAAGAAAATTTTTAGGTTGTCGCGTTCCGGAACGTTATGAGGGATTTTGTCACGAATTTCGTAAAAGCCTCACACGATTTAATGTGTTAATATCTGAAGAACATTCTAGCCGATTTTCACTAAAATCCAACAAATCTGTAACCCAATCAGTTCGTTTAGGTGACTCGAGTAAAAACAAACCTCGAGTTTTTCGGCTTCAAGAAATTCAGTTTTCGCACCTCATTTAAGCGCGTGTCAATGCGGTCTGTCGAATCTCGTGTTATATCTAGGATTTTGAAGACTTTGACCTAATTTTACTGCCAGTAACCTTAACTTGAACATTAGTAGCTTTATTGGAAATCTACAAGCCAGAGTGGAAGTGTTTGCTGTATTTGATGACGACTTTAACACGTCTAGGGTTCGTGTTTTAGTCAATTGAACCTTTCAACAAATATAACACTTCAGCTACGGATTAAAAGTTTTGAATATCATTACTAACAAAAACAGTAAACTTCGGGTACCTAAAAGAGTCTGTGACATTTCGGAAGCTTTCGGAATAATCTCACGACGTGAATACGAAAAGACCGCAGGATTTACTCGATTTCTCTTTGAAAAGAAACATTTCGATCTAACACAGCGGAATTGTTTTCCAGAATCAGGACTTATTTTCACTACTGCTTTGGTTGTATTCATAAATGCGAAGGTCGCTTCCATATTCATTTCTTTATCCGCAGTTCACATGTATGATTTTCATATCTTTATATTCATGAATTAATTTATTGTATTTTATTTACGTTCAGGAATACAACTCCAATGCATTTTCAGACTATCCTTTTGAAATAGCATTGCTAGTGTGAAAAATGTAGGGACTTCTAATTGGTTCTAGATTACCGCAGAGTGGACGAAAGGCTAGCAGTCATGAACGGCGGCAATTCCACCACCAAGGAACAGTACTAACGCAAGGCGTTAAATAACAAAACTTTCGGGGAGGCGGCAATTTAAGGACAATTTATTATACTTATGAAATGTTAACTCTCAATCAGAAACCACTGGGCCCTAATTCTATCATTTTTTTCCGTCTAAATTCGACTATTTAGCGCGTGTTGCTGGATTTCGTTCAGTAGGCGCGATAAAATCACTCTCACGAGGAATTGTTTACTTTAGTGCGACCAATGTAACGAAAGACGTGAGGACAATTTACGTCGCACAACGGCCACCTGGGACAACAGTGTCCTCAACATTGGAAAATGCTCTGATATAATGGTATGAAAGAAAGATTGGGGCCTGAGCTCGCTAGTCTACGATAGATATGTGTGCGTGTGCGATCGCGTTCAGTCAAAAAGTAGAAAGGAAGTCTCGGTCGCCAATGAGATAAAATGTTTCGCCTCATGGGAAGCATCTGCAGCAAATCAACACCACGTTTCAAGAAAATAACAGAGTCATTTCCTTTCACTGTCTCTTTTCAGGCCTGCGAAAACGTGGTCTTTATCACTATCCATAACACATAGGACTTCTCTCTTGAGAAATTAAGAGGAAGGAAAATGGGAACGAAGAGGTAAATTCTGAGTACCGAATCTGAAGATAAGTACTTGCAACAAATCCTCTGGTTTTACTGTTCTTTGCTATTAACTTGTACTGTATCGTCTGCCAAGACCTCCGTTCTCCTTTACTGTGATATTTTCTAGCTCTACTCAACTTGTCATTTCCTTTTCCCAGTCTTCGCTTGTCGTTGTGTCGTCCAACTCCTCAGACGTATTAGCTTCGCCGTCCTTCGCTTCGAGTTCGGTAAGCAAAGCTGTAGCTTCGGCGAGTGTGTCGGCAGCGCTCGAAGTTCGTTGGAATGTTCGGCTGGACGAGTACTCATTGGAGGTCGTGGTGTGTGGGGCCCAGTAATGCTCGTTCATTTTTCGTTTGAGCCATTGCACGGCCCACTGCCAGCGTGACGAATTTTGAAGTAAGTAATCTTTAGCTTGCGGACATTTATTTGCCAACTGAACCAGGAATTTAATGCACTGGTATGCCCGGCGACTGTCAGTCGTGTTACTTGTCTTGATAACCGCTGGAAAACAAATACGCATAGCTCATCCTTAGGACCAAACGTAAAACAGAAAGATCGTCGGCTATAGTTGTTCTTCGTTACCATAAATGGTCACCCGAAAATGGGCGTAGCCATACTACTAACCTCAAACGTACAATCAATAGCATTGTTTTAAAGACAATGGCTGAAAAACGTTACAGGTGAAGTGTAGGAGCCTACTGCTCCCTTATGGTGAGAAGTTATCACTGCTAAGCATATGGGATGCTAGTCCATCGTACCCCTACCCCGCCATTTTCTCAAGTTTCGCTGAAAGTTTGCCGCCGCCTCTTTATTTTCTCCGGGTGGGGGTAAGGCACTATGTACTAGGTCACCAAGCCTCTCGTGATAAAGACGAAAATTGAAGGAAGCAGAGCACATAATTTAACAAACTTCTCCACCATCCAACGGAAAGTTTTCGCTAAAAAACTCACCTAAGACGCCATCTCCTTGTTCATCGGCCACACATTTTATTCGCAACAACTGTAAAGGATCCTCGACCATCTGTTGAAAGTAACGCGACTTAGAAAACTTACAAGAAAAGAATAGCGTAAGTTTCAGGTAAATATACACCATTACCGAATTTCTGCATCATTCATACATTGATTGACCGCTAATTGCTCAAGGCTCTTGCTTTAATGGTCATACAAGTTACTTAAGATCAAACTCACGTACGGAGACCATCGTCAGTATTCTAACGTACCCGTGTCAGAACTTATGGCTAAGTCAGGAGAGCAAATGAAAATAATCAATCGCCTACTTTCCAACGTTAATGTAACATGTTTTGTGTTTTGAGTTGTTTTCTGCTGTGCCATTCTACTTAGCTTCTGAGTCTGAATTTCTAATGAGGTGCTACAAGGGACTGTGCATTCTACACAACATCAGAGTCTTGTTTACCAGTAAATCAAGTAAGGCACCAAACAAATTCCTCATGTCATTGGCGGAAACAGTAGCAAGGAGGGCCTGTGAAATAAACGCATATCAGTGTGCTTTGCAAAAATATAGTATTCATTCAGTTCTTTTCCGAACTGCCTTTCCCTCCATTTGGTTCAACAATGAAACCAGCGTTCAGCGGACAAGGGTAGGGCTCAAATTAGTGTCCCCTTAATCAGTATGTCAAGTCTGGATATATTTAAAAAACTGTAACACAATGTTAAATTGTTGAACCCACAAGAGTAGATTAAGTCCTAAGCAACCTTTCGGATCTTGCCGTTTCGCGTCGATATAGTAACACAAGGTGTTAATACAGCAATACAGGATGTCTGCTCGACATGGATCCTCGGCCAAATTGTTAAATTAATTTGACTTTTGCAAGTTGTTGTGTAAGACTAGGTCAATCGCACAATTGATCAATCAATCAAACAGTTAGTCAGTCAGTCGGTCCGTTGGTTAGTCAGTGACTCTGTATGTCTGTCCGTCCGTACGTTCGTTAATGTGAGTAAATTTCGAAAATTAGTACAACGGGCATGGACAACAAGAAAAAATTGATGCATGCAAATAAAACAAAGCAGAGAGACAATACCATGGACGTACCCTGATATGCTGCAATACTTTGATACTAAATTGTTCGTTGCACCAACTGCAGTGAATGAACATATTGATAATCTGTTGTGATGTGCCCATGACGTCACAAATGGCTGTAGACACCTGATACATAAATGAAACAACCAGCAGCTCACAATACTACTACCGGTATGATGAAAAGTATGACATCTTAAAACAGGGCCAGTTACAAATTGCAAACAGGGGCTTTTGCTAAAGGAAGGTAAAAAAAAAAAAAGGGGGGGTTACTTAGTAAGCTTATCCCAGTTATGCGCTCATGTGCGAAAACCTCACCAGTTTCTCTACAAATAGTGAAGAAATTATAAAATAAAATAATAATTACTTAATATGAATTCAAAAGAAAATATCAGGAAAAAAAGGAAAGAAGGGAAGGTAAAAGAAAAAGAAGTGGAAAACTATGACTACCAATAGAACGAACCTTTCCATACTATCGAATACAACAGACAGTTAAAATAGAAAGAGTAGTTGCTCTTTTGCAATGCATAGAAACTGGTTATCTTCACATTAAATAAGAAATACAGTAATATCATTTATTAAAAGAAAAAGAAACTAATTGAATCTGACCAAATACAAAGAAACAAAACACTTCTGTTGTTTGTGCATCACTTTTTTTTCGTTACTAACCTCTTTGATGTAAATGTTGCTGTTCATCCCGAAGATGGCATCTTCCATTTGAGGAGGCATGGGAATAAGCGATTCAGCACGAACAGTTTCAAGGAACATGGGCCGCAAAGACCTGGGTTCTTATAATCAAAACAGGTCATCATAAGATTTGTTTCGTTTAAAAGGATAGACTGCCATCCATTCAAGGGGCAAAACTACAACGATATTTCAAACTTGCATAAACGATGGAGGTGTGCTCTTACCGACGGTAAGTTGTGACGAAACATCACACGAGCAAACTAGAGTGGCCAGGACACTGTACAGATGAGTAAACTCCTGAGCTTGAATTGAGCTCCACCTCCGGTTAGATCCCTAGTTACGGGTAAAAAAGGTAATTATGCGTATATGAAAAAGATAAACAAACAATTGAATAGATGAATACGTGAATAAACGAATAAATGTAAAAATACATCAGTAAAGATATATAATATATATATATATAAAGAAGGCAAAAGTAATAAAATTTGTACTCATTAGTCTTACACAGGTAATATTAAGACAAGCGACAACAACAAAGATCACAGAGCGTTACTTCGCCTCGGCCAGACAAAAGAACCAGTCAAGATTGTGAATAAGAAGAATAATGGTACCTGAACTAAGGTAACGAGATTTTAATCTCGCTGCGAAGATCACTCCACCATTTAAAAATGGTCGAGTAACTTTCGCAGTGAAGTGAAAAATACAAATCTGAATTACGTTGGAGAAGTCGTCCACGGGACTCAGACATGTGACCTCTATGTCCCTCAAACAAACTAAGGTGCGGAGCCACTGACGTTCGAAATAAGCCAATTGTGAGCTCACGTGATATACTACCATTTACAACCAATTAGATTACTAGTGCGTCACAAACTGCAGTCGACATACAGCCATCGTCTCCCCTAACTACGATGTCAAACATAACTCACAAAAATACTCACATTTTCAGCATTGGGTCCGACCAAGAAATGCAGAAACTTTGAAAAGGCTGCTTGGGCTATAAGATGTTCACAAGTCTTTCGATTCTGTAAGGAGAATGGAAATAAGGACTGAGAGTAGTATTTTTTCCTTCCCTCTTTTGATTTTTCTTCCGTCCTATTGACTGTTGACTCCAAACGTTGTAACTTATAAGAACATAACAAGGGAGTTCTACCGGGAAGTAACAATGTGAAAGATAACTAAACAATGTGGGTGAGAAGGGTTCATATTGACAGACTAACATTAAGTGCAATGGAAAAATGTATTCAGCGCTTATCTTAGGGAAACACTCTTTTACATTTATAAGCTTATGACAAACAATTAAAATGACTATTTTATAATTGGCCACGAGGGTAAAATTGCTTGAACTTAATTGGTTGCGAAAAGTTGTTCTCTGCCCGCCAACAACGTTAGAAAAAAGAGTCACGTAGGACGATAGTGCAATCATTTCATCAAAACATCAGGGGAAGCTGCACAAATGGGAGAAACACACAACCATAGTTCAATGATTTAGAGGAGAGGATAGTAATTTTTCAATCTGCTTGCGTCAGAACTTGAAAGCGTTCCAGCATAAAATCAGTTCAATGGCTTTCCAAGATCTCTTCCAGGATACTCCTCAAGATTTTTCATGACCGACGATGAGGAAACTAGATTAAAAATTATGTGGAAACGATATTTTAATTAAGGCGTTTCTTGTCTTTTAGATAAATTCAGTGATTTTCCGGACATGAAATTAGACGATCTCTTATGGGTATTCCATAACCCGTACCAAACCTACCGTTCGTAATAAGAAAACTTTTTCATACAGCTGGAATTGCTCACACTGAGAAGAGTAAATTCTGTTCACTTAGTGGTCACGATCAAAAGTACGTATCCAGTTAACCGCTTCCCTGAGAGAAAAATCACTACCCTCCTTATCATATCATTATCCTCGGGTCATACCCAGAACTTACATATTCACTGTGCAACGTTTGGTAAGGTAGGAATGCGCTTTTGTCTGCTTATCAAGAAAGCGATTAAAAAAAGGAAAGTCCGCTAGTATACTGACCATTGTGGCGTATCGATTCATCAGCCAGAAGTACTCCGAACAGCATTTGTGATTGTCTACCACATCACGATCACACATATGCAACAATGTGTCAATCAAAATATTGAGTTGTCCAGATACCTGAAAAGGTTACAAAGTTTAAGTGGGCAGGTCTTTCGAGTGAGGTGGCTCAAAATCAATACCGGAGAATAACGACTCTCGCTGGATGGAACGCTAGTCTACGGCAAAACGAAACGGAAAAAGGTTTTTTTACCGGTCTAGGTCGGTCCTTATGAGAAAACTTTTGTGCCCCTGTGTGGAGTGCGGCCTTGAGCCGTACCCAAGACCCAAGACCTCCGGCACAGTTTTTTCTTTCCCATATAGACCTTCCACCCAGTAAATAATATATCTATACATTAAAATTAAGTGCAATTGGCTCGCCCCGCTCTTTTTAAATTTGGAATGGGTAATTTTTTTTTTCAATTTCTCGAGTCTATGCAGTTTCAGTAACGCACGCCTATTTCGGAACACTCATGCAGAAAAGGCAACTAAGGCGAGAAAGTAAGAAAACAAAAAGGTACTTACACGCATCAAACTAGTCAAAACAAAACGAAACAAAAGAAAGTTAAATACCTAGGTAATTCATCCTCTTAAACCGACGATTATTTCAAACCAGTGCTATTAGGAACGATAAAAGTCTCTTACCACACTCCCTCCATGAAGTAGATAGCTTTCAAACGTAAGACCAAGAATCTGAGCAAATGCTTTACGAACTTCTTGTGAAGGGCATTCCAGGAGGAATGGTCTAACGTAGAAAGAAAGCGAAATTAAAGACAGAACACACAAACAAACAAACAATCAAATGACTATGAAAGCGATCTTCGCAGTGAAAGATCTTCGCAAGAACCGATAGCCAACCAAATAGCCAAACATCTACATCGTCTGAAAAAATTCACGGTTGTGAGAATAGAAGAAGGGGTTCAATGGTTTTGTGGTAAGATACTGTAGGTTGTCAGGTCGTGTTCGATTCCTATCGTGGTAATTTATTCTACGTAATTCTTTCCCTACACTATTGAAAGGTAACCCTTACTTTGAAATGCATGTGATTTGGTGTCAGTCTAGAGAAGAATTGTCCGTTTGAATGGAAATGAAAGCCAACCTTGTGGAAGGTTTGTGTGACTGGCAAGAAGCAATACCTGATCAATGCGAAATGTTTCAAGAAGAAGGTACCCCACTCACAGAGGCAAACGCCACGAACCAAAGTAAGGTATTTCGAGAGCCTAGAGTGTTGAATATCATAGTGCTGGTGTTATTAGACCCACAACATATGTTGCAAGATGACTCGAAAACCGTACCTCACGTAACCTTTGCCTCTTTCTCCAGCTAAGAAGTTGATAAACCATACACAGGCCTCACTGTTGTTCTTTACTATGTCTCCAATACACGAACACCATTCCTCTGTTTGGGTTCTAAACATTAGAGATCCTTGGTAAATACTAAGCATTGCAATGTAAAAATCGTGCTTTAATTTCCATTTCGATGAAAGCTCAGTTCAATTAATGGCTATGGTTAAGCATTGAGTTTGTTTGTCATCGAACCAAACTGAAAGGAAATTAAAAGTAACTATGAATAGAATTGTGCTCATAAGACAACTATTTGGTTATCACTAACCTAAGTTTCTTCGTCGTTCTAAAATAGGTGTTAAATAAGAACTGAACAGCAAGCTGCAGGCTGCAAACTGACAGGATGGCGTGCTTATCAGATGATGAACTTCTCTGTAAAATCAATATCAAATTTAAGTTACTACCCGGTTCTGTTACACCCCCCAAAAAAAAAAAAAAAAAATGATCCGTTTTCCGAAGACGAAAGAACTATCCGAAAGAATGCAAATACTTAGGAATAATGATTAGAATGAACACTTCGATGACGATACTTACACTAAATAACAGAGTTACCAGGGAAGGGGTGGGTGGAAGTATTTGAGGAATATACCCGCTCAGGCAAGTTAAGAAATTTGAGGGCGTCTCACCGATTTCTGCTAGACGTTCTGGCTCCTTTTAAGAAATCTCTTTGAGCGTACGACTTACCGCATTGCAAGATGCTAGGTTGAGGATAAATCTGAAGTAGTCCACGTTATAAACATCTCTATTTTGCATGAATTGAAGATTTTCAGTGTGAACCTAAATACACAAGAAAATAAATTCTGAACATCTTTCGCTAATACCACATAACGCTAAGTGAGATAAACTGACTTCTTATCAATCCCATGCAATAACAGAGCTTCAAAATTCTAACTGATTATAGTGAAAACAAAAATTCTGAACTAACCACTCTCTGGATAGAAGCAGGCATTTTGTCCTTAAAAATGCCTTTCTTTTCTCCTTTCTGAAGTAACGCTGTTAGCTGACTCAGACCGTCTGTCCGGGTGGGTGATGGGGGGCCTGAGCTCGAAGATATCGAGGATGAGGATGGGGAGGGCGGAGAGGATCTGGGTATAAAAAATAAGAAGAAGTAATAAAGTTGGGAAAGAGAGGAAGAGAGTGTGGATGGGGCACAGTTGTAACTGAGAATAAAACGGATTTTAATACAATCAATGGACTACGCCTCCAGCGCAATTTCATTCCGCACTACTCAGAAAAATACCCGATCCCTCCCTTCCTCTCCATTGGGCCCCTGACTGTTAGATTTAGTACTTTGTGCCATGAAGTGTTTTTCCAATTGCAAGTGCATTCATACCTCAGGCCTACATCATGTCGCACCAGTCCACTACCATCGCCAAGAGAACCATACTGTGACTTGAGTTTGTCTGAAGACTCATAATAAAGCATGTAGCCATTCCAGTAGCGATGTCGAGTTTCTGGATAACTGTTAACTGCAGGGAAAAGGCGTAACTCCATAATTAGCAAAAAATTCAAATACCTCATCTGCCATGTATTCAACGTCTTTCTACTAGCTCTTTTGAAGAGTTCACCACACTCATTTTAAATACCAAATCAGACGACTTCATACATGTATTTCGATAGAAGTCAAACTCAAATTCAGGACAAAAATCTTAAAATGAGTTTCCTCTTACAAATAATCTCCTTGTCACAGATTAGCCTGTCGATTCTTCGAGAAATAACTGAAGGCAGAAGAAAAGTTAGAGTGAAAAAATCTACTCCGTATTTCTAGACAGAAAAATGCCATTGGTGAAGTTTCTTGAAAACGGCAACAAGCGAAGGCAGCTCTTGGGAAAGGTCAAGTACATTCTAAATTATCTGTATAATAATATTGGCATAATAGAATTTATTCCGTTGTGTATGTATACAGAGTATATAAACCAAATTTTCTCGGCTTGATAGGTCACTACTATTTCTTTAAACGACTGTGAATATATGAAAGTCATATATTTGAACTATGGATAACGACGTGAAGGAAAGTGATCTTCGCAGAAATGAACACTTCTTGAGCAGTAGGCCTTATTTTCACTGCTGCTCAAGTAGTGTTCATTACTGCGCAGATAACTAATTCTTTATAGGCATGTGGTTTGCTGCTGCACGCTTCGCACGCTTTGCGAGCTCCGCTGTTATTTTAGCGGACTTAATTTTTTCCAAGTAGAGACATTGAGTCGGGTTAGAGGCTCTTTGAAAGTAGCAGAAACAAAGCCTAAGATTACAATTCCTGCTCATGCGCTGTCAATGGCCCATGCTTCACATTCTAGAAGATGGACCTCACTAAAGAACCAAACTTCTCTCAAGGTCGCTCGTACTGTCGTGGATGCTTGTTCTACTGGTTAAAGAGGATATTGCGATGCGTTGCTCTAAGTGTCTTTAAAAATGTTACTCACCAGTATCATAAACTGTTGCTTTGTATGTGCCGCCAAAACATTCTGCTTCTAGTGTGTCCTCGTTCATGTCAAATTCCTCAACAAAGATGTCATTGAACTTGTACCACTTTTCTTTACTCTCACTATCATTTGCACCATTCCTTTTGGGAAAAAAAATTTGAAAACAAAGCAAAATGAACAACAACAACAAAAAAAACAGAACAAAAAAATAAATGTCACCGGGATTCGTATACTTTCGAAATCCTACTATTCCATGATGTTTTCCGTACTTTTTTTCCATGACCCACGATAAATAAGTACCAGCCGCTGTTCGAGAGATGAGTTCCTCGAAGAATCAAAGACTGAATCCGAGAAAATGACGGAAATCGAGGCAAAAGATCGAGGGGCGTGTTTCTCAATGTGCTGTGAGTCGCTCAATGGTGGTAGAGTTTTACTTTGGTCTACAAAGCAGTTATTCTTAGTCATGACCAACACTTAAAATTGGTGATTTTCCAGGACTGGTAATTGATATGATAACATTCGATGACTTTTCAGCTATTCCATGACCGGTACGATCCCCAAAAGAGTATTAGTATAAATCTACCAGTGGTCGATTAAAAAAGCTGCAATCTCATTGGCCACACTAATCGCCATCGACTGCTCATTTTATGAATTTAAGTATGGTAAAAAAATAGATATTCACATTTGAGCTCCAGGTAATAACATGAGGATAAATTCATTTCCATAACTTTAAAAGATTGAGAAGTATCAACGTTGTCATTGTTTCAGGTCGCCATAATTAGCAAGAGAGTTTCACTACAGACCTTCTGTCCTTAATGAATGAGTAATAATGTCCGGCATTTGCTTGTCCGCTATGGACAATGACCCCTACTAGCTCGTACTGAATCTCAGGTGCATTTACAGATACGGTGGAGTGAAGCGAAGAAGACGATGCAGACATGTGTAGATCTGTTATACTTCCATTTTCACTGTCTGTATCTGCCTGCAAGTTTGTTGTGGACTCCCGTCTCGATACTCCATCCGTTGTGTATGGCTCCATGTTCAAAACCCAAGGAAACTGGTAGAAAAAATGGAAGTTACTTTTAACTTGTGTTTCTTGTGGAAAAAGGCTGCAGCCAATGAGCACTCGCACCCTGCATTGCTGTTTTGCTTTATGTTGTTGTTGTTGTTGTTGTTTTGTTTTTTTTCTTTATGGGAGTTTCGAACGGCTGAGCCACGAGAGAAATATGAAAGAAATAATTTCAAAAATCTGCTTAAATTCAAGGGGTTTTGAGTTTACCCGCACACCTGAAATGTATAACTCTGTTTGGCTGTCTGAGAACGCTTATCGAACCACTTAACGCTCCTTGATCTTGTTTACCTCCCAAGAGTGACGTGGAGGATAAAGAGTTAAAAAGAAAAACCAATCAAGTTCCAAGTAATGGTTTTTCCTCTGGGGGCTTCCTTTCTCTTTTGCGGGGCTCTGCCACTTCACCAAGCGCCCCCCGGACGAAGAAAACGAACGCTGGCTGGAACACCCATTCCATAGTGCAATTATATACTGACGTGGTGTACATTACCTCAAAATGATCGTCAAACTTGAGTGCTCTACCAGCCTCCCAGTCGTACCCAAACCTCTTCAGTTGAATAACGAGGACCGGGGGGAGGCTCTTAATACACATGCGCTTTACGGTAGTTCGCTGAAATGGAAATATTTGCGAGAATACAATGAAAACCTACACAAATGCACACAAAGTGTTTGTAGATAAACCAAAATGCCAGCTAATTGATTCATTCTTGGCATATCTTGCGGTCATCTGTGATCTATTACTAAACAGACGCAGATAACAAAATAATACATCATAAAACACATATTTTAAGAGCAAACCTCCATCTCTTAGGGGAGTCCTTTTGAAGAAAAAAGTACACCAAAAATTTATAAAATAAAACTAGGCTAAGACAAATTAGTAAAACTGATGAACCTTTTTTTTTTTTAAGTCCCCATTAAAATTGCGCACTTAGACTCCTATAACTAAGATAAATCGCGTAAAAATGTGGTTAAGTTTCTATTAAAACTCGAGCAAGGCATCCACATGTTTTACACTCAATACAAATAATACATGCATAGTTACTCTTTCATTGCACTTTTCGCAGAAGTAAGCATTGTCCCCTTCAAGTATCTCGCCATTTACAAACTGTTCTAGGGAGTCTTCCAATTTGTGGTTCTTGACAGTCACTTGCAGAGAATGGAAAGCTTCTTCTCTTTCATACCTGTCGCCAAGGAAACTCACTCATTTACCACCAGATTACCACTTGACATATAATGAATGAAAGTCACTACAGAGCCAAGACTATTACCGGATCCGCTTGAACAATTTAATCGGCCATATCATGGTAAACGACTTCTGATTTCATTTAATTCAATTGTGCCAATCAGTGCTTGGAACTTTAGCAAGCACAGGATTCATGTTTTCCGTTTCTGATAATCAGATTGGTCAGTGTTGTGTGAAAGATCTCGGTTATGAGTCACATGGTAATCTCAGAAAATTTGACAAACCTCTAAATTATTTCCGAGTAATTGACTAACAACACGGAGAGAAAATAATAGATTGATCTCTCACCTGTGATTACATTCTTTACAGATTTTCTGGTCAGCAAACATACCACAAAATGTTTTTTTGAATAACTGCTCTTGTCCTTTTTGCTGAAGATAAAAAAACACTACAGGTTATTCCCTGAATAACAAACAAACTAGACATGATTTCAGATCTTTATTCAGCTTGAGAAAGATCTTTGTCTCCATATAATCATTTCAAATAAATATCAGATGGTTTCTTTACAGAATTAAAGCATTTCTGTTCTTGTCTAGGCGATTTCTTTAGCTCGTTTGTTCGTTGCTCATTCAAAATAAGGGATATTTTTTCACTTACTTTCTTAGGAAAAAAAAATTATTACCAATCAAAGAGGAAACGAAAAACAACTTACCTTAAGGATTTCATCGAGCTGATCCGTTAGGTTACTAAAGAACTCAAAAGCATCCTGCCAAAAAAAAACAAAACAAAAAAAAAACAAAACAACACAAAACAAAAAAAGAGCATACAATTCATTAGCCACGAATGAAAAGAAACGCTGCCACTGTTGACTTTCGCTCAATGGCGATTGAATCATACGCCAGTAAGCATTCATCGAGATACGAAGCACGTGGGAAGATTAGAGCGCACCAAAGGATGCGTCAGAGTTGCTCGCCGAGAACAACTCTTATTAACTTCTTGAATGCTCCCCTGACTTTTTAGGCGCCTCACATCTTGATGTACGCATAGCTTTATCACATTTTTAACGTTGGAATGATTTTTAAGCCTTTGCACTCCTACATCAGAGTGAAAAATCTTCAAACTTTCCATTTGACATTCCCTTCGTTGCTGACAAAGACAGTTTGTTTAACAATTAAGAGCTTTCTTGGCTGATGATCATTTCCTTTATTTTCGTGACCTTCATGAGCGATTCAGGGGTGATATTGTAAGAAGAAGAAATTAGATGCTAGTCACTCTTAGGGTCAAAAGAACTTCGTCTGTCAAGGTTCAATGGATACACAGATCATCAGCCTAAACAGTAGGGGTACAAAACACTCTCCGACGATTTAAAATACCTCCACAACTTCCTTGCCATGGTTATCAACTGAAATAAATAACTCATTTCACCCACCTGTTGTTCGCGAACATTGACTGGTTGGCCCCATAGCTTGAAACATTTCCAAAATTGCTCAGGGGCAAAGAACTGTAACTTGCTGTCCATCAAGTGGCCAAATAGCGATTGAACTTGGAAAAAGACGCTGCGAATAGTGCATAGAATGAACAGACAAGAAAGTCTACTTAAGGTTACAAAAACATTACCACATCAGGTAGAGAAATTGATTTACCGGAACAAGCGCGTGTCTACAATTTATTCACTAATTTGCGCAACTTTTGTGTCAAATTAGAGAATGATAATGGCAATGGTATGAAATAGTTGAAAAGCATTTTCTCATTGTATAAAATAAAATATCCCACCTGTAACAAGCATTTTCTTGGTTAAAAAATTCAATTCAAATGTATACAGAGGACGTACCTGTGATTCGTGGGATATTCCATACTACAAGAAAGTGCCATTTCTAAATATATTCTGGCACTTGAGAACTTGGAAAATGGGATACTGAAAGCGTTTTATGATCGGAATTTATAAAATACGCTGATATAAGACACTAATGTTGGAACATTTTAAGCTCATCACACTTATGCACGATACTGTGGGGATATTGTTGGTGTGAGAAACTGCAAAGACATCTATGTTTAAAACAAGGCATGTTTTAAGGCAAGACAATATGCACATATTTTGCTTAATACACTCCGCAGGAGCATACTAAACACCGATTAAGCTTCGTAAAGTTACAAGAATGTCATACCTTTCTTTATCTGGATGAAAATCATCAAATGACAAAATTGCCTATCGTAAGAGAAAGAAATAGAAATTCCGTCTATAGAACTTGCATATGTTATCGTTGAATACCCAGGAAGTAATTGTATGCCACTGTCTTGTCAACACTCGACGCAAAAACTGCCACCTTGTTCTGTCCAAAAGCACCCGAAATACTCAGCTGTTCAAAGCCCCTTAGGTGGTTCTATCACCACAATTACCAAATTCTAATTGATAAACTACGAGGTTTAACATAGCATTAACTCTGTTCAACACACGACGAAACAGTGTTGTCACCAACAACTTTACTCAAGCTAACAAACGACTCACAATAATCACAAAGAAATCAAACTAAAAAATTCATGTACATGTCGTTTTCTGTGACGTTAACAGTGTTTACGACCCACCTCTCTTAGTCCTGGTTGCATGTACAACTGTTGAAGAACAGAGTTCATATAGCATGTTGCTCCCGCATTCTTAAGACCAACAAATCCACACTGAGCCCGTGGGGCAACTGGAGGCTGGAACTAAAACAGTACAAGTGTATTGCTGTTAGCTGCATTCCTAAGACTAAACGTAAAATAAGGATTATCAATTCATAAGGGCTTTTCAGGAAATTTTTTTTCCGCAAATGCCCCTCTGGAGATAAATGACTTTAGATAACAGGCCTAGACAAACACCACAAAATATTAATGAACGTACCTCCCACTCTTTAAGAGTACCAGGATCTCCAATATGATGCATACTAATTAATTGTGACACAATGTAAACCAGATTTTCAGCGCAGCCAGTGGCCAGTTCCACCAACAGCTCATGCGCAGCTACTTGACACTCTCTGGCCACACATCTGAAACAACAACAAAAAACTATCAAATATGATGGCAAAATAAAAAGATAGAACCGAGAGGACTACAATGAGATAAGATTAGATATTTTTAAATTCAATTTTTGGCAGTTACAATTAACAATTGGTTCATATGTCAGCGTGCGTTCATCGAGATATGAAGCACGCGGGAAGTTTCGAGAGCGGCGTAGCCGAGAGCAACTCTAGCTTCTTGAGTGCTCTCCAAACTTCCCAAGTGCTTCATATCTCGATGAACGCACAGATGACGTATGAACCAATTGTTTTATAATATTTTCAACCCGATGGAAAATTTTTTTTCGCGAGGGATTTGTTTGCTGACGTCATGAGCGTGCACAATAGGAATATGAAGCACGCTCGCGCAATTGAATTTGATTAGACAAATTAGACAAATTTACTGGCTATGTTCTAATGCAAGCTGCCTGATATACAATATCAACTTGGAAAAAAATTGCATTTGTCTCGTGCTCTACCACTCAGAGCTACAGAGAACTCCATGGTCAACTTCTGAGCGAAAGCTCTCAATACTGAAGATCCTGAAGCTCTATTCCAGAGATGGAAAGCTCAGATACTATGGTAAGAAGTATGGACGTCTCCGATAGTCAACAAAACCCTTGCTTATAAGATCCGCATGTCGGTATTTACACTGCGGCACAACTTGTCTACAAGGCTAAGTTTAGAGCACATTTTAACCAAGGCTTGTAAAACCAGAAAAAAAAGTTTATCATAGTAGCTAATCAGACTACAAGTTGAAATCACAAAGAGCCAATTGGAACTCAAAAAATTCACATTCGAGTTCACTGCATCAAGCGCGAAAACCTAAATGGCTTAGTCGAGAATAGTTTTGGTCTTGGATCAAGCTGACAGAATTTTTCTAAGTAAATCATAGCCACGATGCAATACCGATATTGCAGGGTTCTTCCCTCTTCCCTTCTTTTCAACTACAAAGACCTTTCAAGGCACCGGAAGTGTACTCCAATGTGCCAAGTTAATATTGATCTCAACTTACTTGGGATGGACATCAATGACAGTCTCTTTAGACGGTGTACTCCTCGTATCGAAAATTAACTTCGAAGCAGGAAAGAGAAAGTCATCTAAGAGGTCTTTTATCAACTTCTCTCCTACAGGAAAGAAAAGAAAATTGTGAATTGTTGCCGAATGCCATTTATATTTGTGGAAATAGTAGTGAAGACGTTTTAATCTGTTATGAGCACTCTCACTTACCCAAACCCTTTTTATCCACCCCTTCACAAGTGAAGAGAGTTTTAATTAATTTCAAATGTCCAGCTAGTAGTGGAAAGCTGTTTTCTGTGAATAAATATAAATTAAATCATCAAAATATGCTACATTTTCAATGCTTGCTCTAATATTGGTATAGTAATCTGCATGTCTCGATTGATGGGCACTAGTGATGGTTTGAAGCTTTTCGCCTTTAAGCCGTATTAGTCGCGATTGGAATTTGGATATCTTTCAAAACCTCACGAGTGACCAGACATAACAAAATACACCAGCAGTCCACGTGAATTGCCTTCAGTTAAGACTCAAGACGATCACAGACTACTATGCAAACTTGAAACACGTTTCAACAGCCCTAAAGTGTCTTCTTTCAATTGACAAATGACAACTAAGCGCACTTCGATCGAGTGTTTTCAAACTAAAAACGAAATAATCACACCAGCCAATCAGGACAGAGGAAAAACACCACGATCTACTGAAATCGCACAGTAAAAACAAGAAAACTGTTTGAAACGCGGAAAAACGCGGGCGACCAAGTCGCCACTGGCTTCAGTTTTGAGAAAGTGGCGCGAATTTTCCAAACAAACCAAAGAGCGAACACTCTCAAACCCTGACGGGCAAACACGCCTCACATTTCTCGAGGTAAACTTGAAAGGAAATAGATACAAACCATTATATAGCTTCATGACTTGTTCGGAGACTTGTTTCAACAAAGTATATATTTTTCAAGAGTGACTTAAGCAAATGTAAGAATACCTAAATTAGTTCCGCATTCAAAATTCAGAAGCCATTGTATTTCAGTGTCGATCATCTTGGTTGGATCAATTTTCATCTGTCTCTGCTCTGTCACTGAAACAGAAGTGGATTGTTTTGATTCAACAGTACGGATTTTACATGTCTGACATACGGCCTACTTTCTCATCAAATTCTGCCTCTTGGAAGACGAAAAAAATCACTTTTCATTGATAATTGTTTACGGTGATAAAGTGAACGTTATACACCCACTCAAACAACAACAACAACAACAGGATATCAGCGGGTTTAAACCTATGACCCTGCATTCTTAATGCACACGTCTTACCTGTTAAGCCACTTTTATAAGCTACTAACCATTGGAAGATTCAAGTATTCCTTAAAAGGCGTTAATTGAAATGGTGTACGTGTAATGATTAACTGAACTGAATATTAACACGAAATGAAAAGTCTATCCCTCACCTGTCAAGTAGTCTAACAGTCGACAGAGGAGATCAAAGAATTGACTGCAATGACGTTGCAATCTAAAAGTTAAAGAAAAATGGAAAATACCTTCATTTAACGATCGTTTTCACGTTATTTTGGCACCATATTCTCTACTGGGGGACGCGCACCAAGAAATTCTATCATTTGGAAAGAGTGCGAACACTGTTCATAACTGGGATGCTATTTTGTACAGCAGGATTCTGGTTTTTCTTCTCCAGGTAACATCTTAATACAACGGAAACCCTGCCCATTTTCAAGTAACGTGACTTCCCTTGGGTAGAGGGGTGGGGTTAATCCACGCACTCAACCCTGCCGATTAGTGTCCCATTTGCTAGCAGAGGAAGGATTCACCTTGTCTCTCATCTTGTTGAAGTTGCCCCTACCCCGTTTTAAATAATCTTAATTTGAATTAATTGTATCTTTGCCGAAAGGTGACTAGCAAGAGAACTGTACCTGTAGTTTTTTCCTCTGACATGAACTGTAGGTGTCCATAGTGGGAGGGGAGCATTAAGCATCACACTCAAAAGGAAGTGATTTGGTGTCTGGAGTTTGATATCTTAAAAAGCCACAAAGACGTGATTTCAGACATATGATGAAAAGCACAAGAATAACACAAATAAAACGTAGCTGTTGTTACTGCTTATACTGCTTATCTCTCTTTCGAACAACCGGAGCCAGGTGGAAACATATTAAATGTACATAATATACAGTAGTTACCATTTATTATTATTATTGTTATTATTATTTTTTATGTCGTATTATCGAATTTAAAAAGACAATATTGTGTTTGTGTACATACCTCCAACAGGAGTTTGACTCAGAAATAAAAGTTGTTCAAGTGCCGTGGACCGCACCTAAAGAGACAACATAATTGTATGGTAACATTTGTGGCTAAGCGGCAGACGGAAAAGGAATGAATGAGTTGCCAATGATCGGATCCTTGTGTTTGCGCAAAGATTTCTAGGATTGACAGAAGGCAAACATTGCAAGTTCCATTTCTGATAAAAAACAGCGACTAAAAAATGTTGATCTCTCCCCCAATTTTTTTTTCTTTGAGCGTCAAAACAACCTTTCGCCATGTATTTCCCTATGACATCCTGCATTACCTTAAAAAACAACGGTGTAGAAATGATAACTGTTATTTAACTAAAACGTTTATCTATTAAACAATCAATTTGTTCTTTGGTAGAGAGTTAGTGTCAACACCTAAATGATAAATGTATACCTGAGAATTGATGGAGCCTATGAGAACTTCCACAATGAAGTCATTTACATTTGGGAGATAGTAAAACACTCCTAGAAGAAAAAAGCTTAGCTTGAGTGTTGGTTGTTTAAATTTCTGTCAGCAATACAAAGTGTTCGGTAGTGCTGTTTTCTGCCAGAAATATGTCTTACCCATTAATTGCGTTCTAAGTTGCAAACAAAGAACCAGAAGCTGGAGGGCTTCGCCGACAATTACTACATCCTGAGGATACAAAGCAAAAAAAAAAAACATGTTCATGTGCGAGACTACATTCACTACTATTGTAGACAAGTGACACAAACTGAAAAATCTTCTTCTAGTGGCGGTTTAGTTTTGGTGGTCTGTCACTGTTTTTAAGCGGGAATCAATGGAAAGAAAGCAACTCACAAAAAGCTCTGAATACAAGGTTATGGTTGATCGCCAAATTAACTGGCAATTTCTACATTAACAATGGAATTTCAAGGCAATTCATAAAGGTTGCGGTAAGATAAGTTGGTTAATTCTTGGAAGACAGATACGTGCGAGACGTTAACATTTGATTTTAACACAAACAGATTCCATGTTGCCGCCGCCATGTTCTAACCACATCTTGACGTCTTCTATATTCTTTTACTGTACAAACCCACAACCACATGGAATTTAATTGTCAAGCAGACAAAGCGTGTTTTGCTTTTACCTTGAGTGTTGGTTTTTTTGTTGTTGCTATTTTACAGCACAAGTGTATGTAATAATAAAGATGACGATGAAATTAGGGGCCTAGTTAAGCATTTGTGCTGTTCTGTTTTATCGTCTTATTGTTTTATTTTTTTATTTTATTAATTTTAATTTACAACCCGTTCTACAAAATCAAGTCAGTCAAGAACGCACCTTGTAAGGAGATAACAGGTACTAGATGGGGCCAATAAAATAGATGGTAATTTTAAAAAACTCAAGGTGCACGCAACTAGCAATAAATCACTGACAAACCTTGTTTGTAACCTCAGAGGGGCTCCCGCTGGAAACACTGGATCTGAAGGATTTCACAGACTCAGAATCACTACCCCCTCCTCCCATACTACTTCCTTCATCATCGGAACTCTGACTGGATAACCTCTGCCTACCCCCAGCCAGGTTTATTCTGCCAGCAGCTGCAGCCCATGCCACACGCATGAAGCATGCAATTGTTTCTGCAAAATCATCACGACCCATTGTCTGAGATGAAAGAGGACAAAATTATTATTTCACGATAACAAGACATTACAGACTTTTCAATCATTTCACCTCGATTATCAGCTCACAAAATAAGGAAAAGCACTTTGAACTAAGTAAGATGTGACCTAATCACTTCTTTCTTGTGAGCGATTGTTGTATTTAAGTTTTCAAAAGTATTTCAAACGTCACACTGATTTTGATGCAAGGAATTATTTAGGTAAGTAAATAAATTGTGTTAAAGCAGTTTGTTTTGCGCGAGAAATGTATATCGGCCAGTGTGAGTAAATAAGCTACTTATACGTGCATGTCAGGTATCACTGTTAGAAGTCTAAGTTATGCTACTACTATTCACGATATAAGTCATCGTACCCTTGGCAGTTATGCTTAGTAACGTTATTTCTGTAATTTTTTTAGTACTCTACAAATAAATAATACAATAAAGAAAAGAACTAAAAGTAAGATGTGGCCTAGGGTAACCGTTAAAATTCCCTTCCTGCACTGCAATACTAGCTTTTACGTCTGGCCCTTTAACATACCTCAATAGCAACTCTAACAGAAGGATGTACATCATCGATCACGCTACTAGAGCGTGCTCTTTTTGCTTCCACTGCCGAATTGTTTAGACTATCATTTAAATCTGTTTCCATGGTGCCTGTTGCCATGGCAATTGGTGAGGATGCAATAGTTGCATGCTCCCTGTGTGGTGGAGAGGGTGGTGCTGTAAAAGAGTTTTCTGAGGATTGTCCACATAGCAAAAACCTTCAAGACAAAACAATTAGAATGCAATTTCACAATAAGGACTGTAAAAAACATTACATCCCCAGGATGTTAGATTCAAGAGAATGATGAAAATATAACCAATTAACTACCAAAACAATTTCTTTGAAAGGAACCTCCACTCTTAAAGCAAATATTGCTAAAAAAAAAAGCTTTAAATGTATCAAACACGAGATTTTTGGTACTTAGAATTATTTCTCTGACCTTGTAAATTTTTTTCGGCCCTAAAAACCGGCCATTTAACTTCCCGCCATCTTGTTAGGTGCGCAAGGCACTCAAGGTAAATGACGTGTAATGGTAGCGGGGTCTCTGTCCAGTCATTCTCCTGTTAAAAAAGCTATCCGTACTTCCATTAGATTTGATTCATGGAAGCAATGGTCCTCGAAATGTTCCGAACACAGACGCGAATCTTTTGGAAGATATGTCCTTCCTACAGCAAGACTCCATGCACGTCGTAAACTGTTGTCTTTCGGAAGCTAGAAAAGAGGAAGCTTGGTATCCTGCTTGGTTTCTGACTGATTACTGCACTCAAAAGCTACGCAATGAGCCGTTTTGCTGGGAAAAACCCCAAATACGAAACAACGGAACAACCATTACACGTCCTCACACCAAAACTGATTGGCCGATTTTGAAGGCCGAAAAAAAATTAACACGGTTAGAGAAATAATTTAAGAGCCAAATATCTTGTGTTTGACACATTTACAGCCTTTTCGGCACTATTTGCTTTAAGACTTGGGGTTCCCTTAAAACATAATGCCGGAAAGACTAACAACCACATGTAACCATTAACAACAACGCAGACAAAAAGTAAAAACAAAGACAAAAATACGACAAAGTGACCAAAAAGGTAATTTTATTACAAACCTTGCTAATTGTAGACAAATTGCGTAGCAACCTCTGCGAATCTCAGTATCAACATCTTGAGGAAACATATCCTTCTGGAGGATATTCACCACAACACTGTTTCGTAAAGTCGACAAATAAAAGAAGAAAAAACCACAATTACGTTCGAAGTAACTCATCCATGAACCCTTTCCACACCACAAACATCAATAGACATATTCTCCATTCTGTTTTCTATGCAGACAGAGAGTTTTTTTTATTTTTAACAATCGAGAATTTCCTAAGTTGGTGATCGTTTCCATTATTCTAGTGACCTTAATGTTTGATTCAGGGGTGATTTTGTAAGGAGAAATTAGATGCTGGTCATTCTTAGGGTCAAAGGGTTTATCAGCTAGTATACGCTGATATGGATCATGACGTTTAGACTACACAGTGCTGGTCTTATTCAGACAATGAAGTCTACTGCACATGTTTTACCTCATGAACAGTTTCTTTGTGTACTTAAGCCAACATAACTATGTGCAACGCCTCAGTTGGAGGAATTGTACCCTAGCATTTGTGGTCGGACAAAACCACCAAAAATAAAAAAAATTTAAAAACTAATATCCTTTGGAAGGCACTCGAACACAACGTTTTTTACTTTCTTCAGTCTCGCTACTCATTATACTTTATCGGATAGGAAGAAATTTAGCACATACTAAATTGAATATGAATGAACTTTTATGTAAGTCCTCAGTACAATGTAAATATGCTTGGAAAATAATTCTCTCGTCTTCCCACTACGCAATTAATAGTCATCGTGTTCGCTTCTAAGGTGACTTTTCAGTCTTTTCAACAACCTGGCTGTTTAGGAGATATCTCATCTATGATAAAGCCACCACAAAACAGTCAAGTTTCAGGAATAAAACAATACCTTAGTCCCCCGGCTGCTAAAAAGTTCTCTTTGAACATCCTTGCATTGGCACCTCCATCTCTGTTTTGTGTCGGCATCAACTTGCTACTTAGGACCTAAAATTTGTCAAAGAGAACACTAAGATACTGCCGTGAGTTCCAATTTGCTTTCCAGCCCTGTCAGTTTGTTTTTTTAAACACTGTGACCTCATGTGAGTTGATAACCATTGAAGACTCATTTTCTTTTTCAATACTGTAGCAATACATAATCAAGTACCTCAAGGTTATAGAGTATTCTGAATGGAGACATGCCGGGCATCACACACTTGAACATGTTTTGCAAATTTGTCATCGACAACATTCTGTCATCTGTACCTCCAGGAGAGCAGCTGATGTTATACTGTAAATCAAAGAGTTTTAATACGTAGTTGTATGGTGTATATAACAAACAAAAGATCACACCCTGTTAGCTGTACAAGTAAATGTTAAACAACCCGAAGGGGAACTGACCTCTCCTCACAATCCTTCTGAATGCGAATAATTAATTCAGACGAACTGTTTCTAATGATCTACATAACAAAATATGTTTCCCCAGACAATCGATATCAAGTGAATTTCTAGTTTGTGATCATACAATGACAGACCGCAACATCTCTATACAAAAATTAAATTCGATGGCATGATTGAATTAAAAAGAATTGGTTGAAATCGTCGATTTGAATAACCTCTGGTATTTAATCAGGCCAGTACGGGATTTGAACCCATCACCAGCTCCCAGTTAGCTTGTTAGCTCAGTTGGTTGAGTGCTGCACCGGTATTGCAGAGGTCATGGGTTAAAATCCCGTCCAGGGCTGAATTTTTTTCAGGCCCTATTTTCAGTACTGCTCAAGCAGAGTTCGCTACTGCGATGATCGCTTTCAAATTAAATCGAGTTTGCAATGAATTCACTACCTGTTTTCCTATGGAGTCCAAAGCTTCCTGTACATCAGGATCTGTTGGCAACAACATCAGTAACCTCTGTACTCGCACAGTAATGCTGCGACAAGAAAAATAATTAAATTTAGCAACTGCTAAGATCTTTCAAACATGTGCGTTTCTGCCATTTTTGTGGCAGTTAAGTACTGCACTTATTTTGAGGCAAGAGTTTACCTTAGTGATAAAGCATGTATGTACTTCACTGACTATTAATAACTGTAATATTTTCGTCAACAGACCTCGTTAAATCAATATTACACAATATGCCAACCAACCTCGGTTCTTCAAGCTCGGCCAGTTGATACAACTTGTCAAAAGCTTTACATTCAGTGGCCATGATAACACCTGGCATCATCCTCTCCTGAAGGCAAAGTCACATTTCTAAAGTCATATATCTATAGTATCAACCGACACGCGGCGTTTTCGATAAACGTCGGTACGAGTGCCACCTAAAAGCACTGTTGCCGCTGTCTGTTGAGCCTGTGAGCAGGCTCTTGTGTTTGGATTTTGCCTTACAAGCCCCTCTCAAGGCACACTTACCTATTACACCATCGGCAGCCACTTATGGACAAACTTATTTAAAAAAAAAACCCTTCTACACGTCTACCGCTGCATGTCAAAAAGTGGCCATAGGCAGAGGGTCTACACTAAAATGTTTAGTTCATTTAAACATGTATTCAGGTGTACTCTTATTGTCAAACTCACCTGCTCCAAGGCATAGGTTTGCCGATTTGATCCACTTGCACTGGACTAAACACAAAACAAATCAGATCATAGAATCATGTTCATAAGGTGTCCTAAGAACCAAATTTCATTTTTCTGTCACCTTCAAGTAAATGTGATGTATTATTGTTGTTAAGAGCTTCCAATTATAGCTATAGCACTTTCACAAAACGAAACGATCATAAACGTACCTCATCGATCCGCATGGCCTCTTGACTCTGAAAAAGAAGACATAAGATCCAAATTCAAAAAACTATTTCAAAATCAAAATCAGCAAGACAGTGCTGACACAAAGAATGCTGGGAGACCTTTTCCAGCTTCGATTTTGAAAATAATTAAAGCTTAAGGCTTTACATCTATCCAAGATGATTTGGTTTTATCAACCGAGTTTCTTAAGTAAATTGACCACCTTTAAGAGTTTCTGACACTGACGTTTCAAGCGTTAGCCCTTCGATAGAGCGAATGTTGAGTATTCTCGTGGTCGTTTCAAAGGAAATACTGAGACAAGAGGTTTAAACCACACTTTGCTGCAATATTCCTTATCTCCTATTGCTGAGTCATTACCAAAAATAAAGTACGACATTGTCAGCAGGGAGTAGGGGTATTAGGAATAAAATCAGTAGGGCCAATCCAGAAAAATGAAACCTTAGTGGCAGACAATCGACAATTTTGTTTCAATTCATCCCATGCGCAACAAAATACAACCTTCAGACTCCATAGCACCAATAGAGCCATAAACTGACCTCAGCTTCTTCCTTGGTTGGTACAGTGGTGACACCTGACACAGAAACTTTGGCAAATAGCAGTTGTTCATCTTCAAACTCCAGTTGATACAAAAGCTTCTGATCCTTAGATGGCAAAAGCTGAAATCCAATTAAGACAGTTCGTAGTGCTCATCAGTTACCAGGCTATTGTAAAATAACACATGACTGATAATTCTTCTTCTGTGAGCAAGTCACGCAGAGACTTATTCATGTTTACTATACACATTAAATGATAAGGTTTGTAACGCCATCCCTACCGTTTCGTTTGCGTTATGCGTCACATGATGCTAACGATAAGATACGGGACCATTCGAGCTCCGCGTGGAGCAGAACGTTTCAGAACGCAATCAAGCGCATAGCTCCGTTCGAGGCAAGAGTTTTCGCACGGAACTCTGACTAACCTTTCAGTCTAACGGTTCCATACGGTTCTTGGTTGAGGCAAGAGTTATTTTCGAATCTCTAGTACAATTTTAACACCGATCTTGTACCTTCCTCTAGCATACACGGACCTTAGGGATTGGATTGTGTGGTTTGCTCGACTACAGTTTCCTTGCATATACCCCTTTCTAGCCGAAAACGCGGTCGCTACAGGTTTGTTCACAACAATCCGATCGCATACTCATAAAAGAGCCGTACAGACGTTTATTTTGTTTTATGAGACATAGCTATATAAGTAATTTGGACCTCAAAAACATCTAACTGTTACAATACCATCAAAACAACGCAGAAAAATCAATCCTAAATAGAGAAAAACACACCGCTCGCTACAACAAAAATATCAGACTAACTGCTAAAACGGCTCTCCCTGAATACATCAAGATCCTAAACAACACTTGCAATCCATCCTCGTTATTCTCGCAAAATAACTAAAGAGCAATTAAGGACAATTAAGAAAAACACTTGAGTTCCAGGAAATGGATTGAAAAGGCACCTACCAACTTTTCTGAAGTCGATATCTGAATTTGCTCATGACTGGTGTTCAGGCGGTTGGCTATCCTGTGACGAAGGGACTTTAAACTTTCGTTGGAATGGGACTAAAAACAGATAAAAAAAATATACATTAAGATAAATAAAACGTAGTATGTAGAAAGGAATCTTTTCAGTAGTTTGATCATTGGGCGATTGGCAATTCTTTTAAAAATTTTCCAGAAACAAACTTTTACTGTTTGCCGTCCTGGTTTTCTGTTCAAATAACAAACAAGGAAATAAATTCAATATATACTCCTCAACATATGATACGTGTGGATATTTTGCGAGTTGCGTAGTACTTATCCGAACCCAGGAGGGGCAAGGAAAATTGAGAGCAATGAGCATAATGACTGATCGTATTCCATTTTTAACCATCGAATGAAGGAGTTGTTCTTCTGCTATTATTTTCTTTCTAGTTTTCGAAATCCATCCTAGGCCCTCATCTGAGCATGGCATCGATCGCATAAGGCGTGGGGGAAAACAGAAACAACAAAACGAAACCAAGTAAGTGTTATTGTGGCCTACAAATGCGCGTAAAAGTGAACCTTGTGATACAAAAAAAAAACCAAGTTTGGAATGTTTGCTGAGGCCATTTCGTTGCACCACTTTCCGTGGGCATTTTTGCTCTGTTCTGCAGTCTAACACTGTAGCATATATTGCGCGCTCCAGTGCCCTACTATGATAAAATGCTGTACAATAATGATTCAAATTAAAAAACTTGTCAATAATCCTTCACAATGATGTTTAATTGTTGTGATAACCCTTTCCCAAAAGTCTTACCAGTATCCATCAATGAAACTTTCCTACGGGCCACACCCATAGAAAGCTAAGAACGACAACAAATAGATAAGAACCTGAAGAGTGATCTCTTGTCTGGGTAAATCAGAAGACACATTGATGGTGATAGGATATCCATGAAATGACGCTCCATGAGGTAATAAAGTGCGAGGACCAGCATGGAGATCCTTATGAAAAATGAATGAAAATAACCATTGGTAACCACTATAAACATCACAACAGGTTAAAATTGTATGGCTCTAACATCTCATGTTCGTTTTACATTTTGCTTTTTGTTTGTCGGCTCATTTCTTGTTTAATTTTTATTTCAGGGTTTTGTTCTTTCTTCTGTTTGTTCGTTTCCTTTTTTGTTGTATATTTTTTATTTCACGTGTTTTTGGTTTCTTTTGGGGGGGAGTTCCTTTTTATAGTAACCCATCCCTCTTAAAAGAAAGTCGAAGTTTATCATGCCAGGAATGTTGATTTCGCGTCACCCAAATTTATAATTTCCGTAGTTCATAATTCAGCAGGTCCTTCTGAGCTTCATAACTACTCTTATTGTCAAATATAATAATCATGGCCGAAAGATCCCTTGAATTTTTTGATTATCAAGAACCGGTTTCAGATTTATTTAGAGATTTAGAACTAAGTATAGGTTTCCTTTAAATCAATCTTCCTGCAAAAACCATTTTAACTACAATGCAATTAAGCACGAGATAAGGAGAGTTATGGGGATGCTTTGAGGTAAAACTTAGGAAACTTAAACGTTCAACTACCATAAGAGACAAAGACAGAATTTCTCCATATGATGTCAGTACAATATCAAGCAGAAAAGTGATGAGAAGAAAGAAAAATGTCGATAAGGGGAATATTAAATAATCCAATATAAATTCTTAAGACTAACATCATAAAATTATATGGCACACAGTAAGGCAAATTGCTGATGAGATCTTGAGAGTGAAAGGGTGAGATGATACAATTTCAAACGTTAGGATAACATCTATAGGACAACAAACCTCCACAGTAATGATGTACTGTTCCACTAGCACTAAAAGCCTCTCAACACTTAACATGTAGTTAGCCCTGTAAACACAAACACAAACACAACAATCAAATGTACAACAATCGACGTGGAAACGTACATGTAGCACTACTGTACATGACTCTGCAACTTAGTCTGTTTTGCTTGTTTGTTTGTTTGTTTGTTTGTTGGTTTGGTTTGTTAATTTTTATTAAGGCCACAGGCCTCCAGTTTTAGAGGCAAGGACTGTCAGGCCACTAATGATTCAAGTAAGGTTATACCTTTTAAAGCGCTGAAATTAGTTCTCTCTATCAAAGTCAACGGTTAAGCAAGCAGAAGATAACACTGAAACCTTGATTAAATGGAATACAGTTAAGGCGATTCTTTCGCATTGCATTACACATCCTGTACTGCGCATTAAAATCACGTAATCAGGCGAATAAGCGCACGCGTTCGGAGAACACGATGATGTTTTTTAACCAATGGAAGAGGTAAAGACGTACGATGGGCTTTAGCTCGTGAACGAGCACGGTGACCTATAAGCCTAACAGGCCTTAAAGCCAATTTCCTGCCCATACCTGGCTGATCCTGGACTGATGGGTACATCAGGTGAAACAGGCGCAGAAGCACCAGCAGCAACTGCAACACCTGCTGCTTGGTTGAATGAACTTTGTCCCAGGCCAGACATCATTGCCTACAATTTAGGAACAAGTCAGTGTGATAGTATTAACCAAAGAGAGACTGCACCATTTTGAACAGAGGTGTAGTCAAACATCCTCACAGAAACAATTTGCCAAGTGGTCATGATAGACAACTGTCTGTTTTCGTGGAGGTCACCACAATTATGCCTCTTTAAGACTCTGCCAACAGTTTTTGACTAAAAATTAGGACACACAAGCTATCACTTACAAATTATCAACAACGAACCACCACAAACTACTCAACACGACCAAAGAAAGCCAAATGAATAGAGACCAAAAAAGCAGTAATTCTAAGTACGCTGCAGTGGTCAAGATTTTGACCAAGAAAACTGCAGTCGAACAAAACCAACCCACCTCAAGGCGTTTGTAACACTCCAAAATAAATTTCTTGTGAATATTTACAGGATCCTTAAAGGCAAAAAAACAGATACGCATGTACCAAACTTGCACTCTAAAAATGACACTGATAACAGAGTGTAACACTGTTCACCAGGATGCTGTGTCAATAACACATACAAATATACACTTGTGTCATTTATTTAATACATTGTTGATAACAAATCACTATGCAGCAGAGTGACTTATTTTCTAATACGTGTGTGCTTATTACGATGTTTCTCTTAACTTTAAAGACACTCAGACAAGTGCTTGTTTTTAAATTTGTTTCCATACGTTCGTGAACAGTTGGACAATTACATTTCACAAAGACATGAAACATTCCTTGAAAGATGCAAGCACACGTACATCACGCAACAGGTATGAGACGCAAACATCTTTATTTTTACGTACAGGTAGAACCTGATCGCATATCAAGTCAAACAAAAACGACACATGATGCAACTCAATATCACAAATTAAAGAAACTATTAACCATTTGTATTACAGTATTTACTTTCCACGCTCACCTTCTTCAGCTTCGAAGACAGCCAAGTGTAACTAAGTTCCATAAGTTGTTTAACAGCTAACATGGCTATTTCCTCCGATGGAACCTCAAGAACAATCCTCCACAAGTAGTCAAAACCTACAAGGTCCATTTTCTCCACTGTAAAGATGTTACCAGTCTTCTTGATGCGATTGTCATTGTGGTTAACATTCTCCAGAAATGCTTTGAAGCAAGCAAAGCCTGCAAAAGAAATACAACAGATTATAAAGTTGCAAACCCATTGAAATGTTTGTTTAAATTTGACCCATAAAACCCAAGAAATTAATTTCTCCTTACAACATCAACATCAACACACATTTGAGCAGGTAGGTAATGAGAATTAAGAGGATGGTCAACAAGGGGATCATTATTTGTCTTAACCCTTTAACTCCCATGAGTGATCAAGACAGAATTTCTCCTAACACCATTCATACAATATCAAGCAGACAAGTGATGGGAATAAAGAAAAATATCAATTAGGGGTTTAAAGATCATTTGGATATATCAGCAGAGTTGATAATGTAAATTGGCCTTCATAAAGAGTTTCTAAAACTGATGTTTCAAGTGTTAGCCATTTGTCAGAGCAAAACATCAAGGGCTAACCCTCAAAATGTCAGCTTTAGAAACTCTTCATGATGTCATAATTACATTTATTAACCCAGTTGAGAAAGGCAAATCACCAAAAGTTATCAGTTTGTATTACTTGCTATCTCAGTGTACCTTTCATTGTCAGCTTACTGGGATCCAGTTTAAGAACCTTTCCAGTAAACATCTGAGATTGAGTGTCTGGCTCTAAATCACACTGTCCTTTAAAGAACCAATCAAAGCATGTCTGCAAAGGTTGAAATGAAACATAATTGAAAAAAACATCTATCACATTTATTTCTCATAGGAGCGGAACAGAGAAAAATAAATTATATGCATCCAAGTTGAGAGATCAAATCTCAGGCTCATCTAAATAATTTGCATCCTCCACATTGTTAAGATAAGCTTTAGATCAAAATGTTTATATATTATTTGCCTTAAGCTTGTGATTGAAGAAACTTTTTTCATTTCCTTTTAAAATTCCACTAGGTTGTTGAGTTCAAAAATAAATGAAGTGCAGTCTATCACGTAAATTGTACTATAGACACATAATGGATGGATACATAAAGTGCGATATAAAATTCAATTGTCTTTACCATTATTGTCATCATTAATATTTTTAATACTACTTTCATCATGATGATCAGTTAACCAAAGCAGCTTGTAGATCAACCAACCTCACGATCAAATTCACAAGCGTCAACATTAGCTACTAGACAATCCCAGATATCTCTAGCTCTGTGCCAGTGGAGGTAGAGTACCCCCTCTTGCAAAACAAATGCAAGAAAACGCAAGTGGATGTTGACAAACTCCTTGTGTGTGTAGCGACCATCAACTAGGGTGTCTTCCTCCAGTCCAGCAGGGGAAGCAGCAGTGACAGCAAGCTGGTGACAGTTCACAAGGCTGGTGACAGTCAGCTTGATTATGTCATGATTTTTATGAAGCTCTGGAAGGATGCCCTGAAGATACAATATATTTGTGGGATTGTGGCTTAAACTGAGCAATAATATCACAAAAATGAAACTTACCTAATAAGCAAAGAATGGAGTGGTTCCTATTAATTAACAAGTTCTAATATAATGTGCTGTTTTCTTACTTATCCTTTAATTGTAAACTATGTAATACATATTAAGGATTTAAAAACAGATGCAGTGTTGCAGAGGTCCCAGAATGACAATTAGTTAACAACTGCCTTACAAAAGCACAGTTTTTAAAATATTAAACAAAGGATTATTGATCCAGTTTTCTGCCTAATACCTGAATTTTGAATTATTGCTGATGATTAACATTGATTAAAAGAAGAATGTTCTAACCAATGCACAATGTTTTTCCACCTCACAAAATAATTCTTAGGTTTGAGTACTTGGAATAGAGCTCAGTCACTCCAAACTTGGTTGTAATTGTAGACATAAAGCTGAACAAAGCAATCCAAAAAAATGAACTCTATGATTTCAAGTTCTTGTTGACCTCTCCCCTCCCCCCCAAAAAAGGTGTTCAAGATGTTCTTTTTAAGCCAAGTACCAACCTTGTCATGCTTGTTAAACTGTTGTTTCACCATTCCTCTTGTGATTTTCAAAAGTTGACGGATAGCTGGTACAATCAAAACACCTTTCCTAATGTCCTCCACACACTTGACAGCATAGTTCTTTTTGATCTGTTCCTTCACAGCATAGGAATCACTGAGGATTTCAATGTGAGATTTGAGGGCCTGATCAACCATATCAGTTGTTAGTGATGGCAGGTGAGATAAGCTCCATAGAAGATCAAGAACCTGAAATAAAAACACAAAGGTTGACATACACTTTAAGCACTTGTAAGGAACTTTTAACCATAATCTTTCTCTCCGAAAAGTCAGTTAATGTATAATTATACAATCTTAGTCTAAACAATCCTGCCATGTTAGTATGTCATGCTAATAATGACAAGTACCTTAGTAGTAATCTTTCCCACTCTCGCTTCTTTTCCAATTCGTCCAATGAGCACAAGCAGCTTCTCCTTCATGCGATCATTCTCTGATCCCCAACTCTAGGAAAAGAAATGCAATAATTGATATTTTACAGACATTGCAATTGTCCTAAAGGTATCGGTAGCCAGATAGGGAAATTGAAATCATACATTGATCTGATACTAAAGCTATACCAGCCACTAATTTCATTTCTAGAGTAAAAAGAGGCACAAGCAAATACACTGTACTTCTTTCAAACAATACTATAAATTTTCATAGCCATAGTCTTGAAAATTACTGATTTGCAAGCTTAACTGCAAGAAAGTAATCCTAAATCTTACTGATTACAACAATCATGCAAAATGTACCTGCTGGATCAGCACAAATAGGTGTTCAAGTTGGTTGGAGTTAAATTGTACAGCTGCTGTGGCTAAGATATTATGAATGTTGTCCACTTCTGTTGGGTGCTTTCCAACCTTAGTGGAGAAACAAACAACTAACACTTTGAAAATTTCATTTAATATTTAATTATTATCATTAAAAATCACTTTGCTTAAATTCTATATGTAAGATAAAGGTTTCATAATCTGTTTATTGATGAGGCATTCTCAAAAACTCTTTATTCAGTGAGTGACTAGTAGTTTCTCTTGTGATTGTTAACCCCTACACTCCTCACAACTTATGACCTCATTTAGTAATTCTTCTGTATGACTACTATACAATTATTATGATGCTAGTTTGGTGAATTTGGTATTGGATCGGCTGATCGACATAATCCCCTGACTGATATTTTTCTTTCTTCTCGTCACTTGCCTGCTTGATATTGTAAAAAGGAATTTTATCTTTGTTACTCACATGAGTTAAAGGATTAAGTCTGACTGATAATTTCGGAATGATATCAAGTAAATAGTTGATATCTATCAAAAACTATTCTGGCAAGGTATATCCACAACAGTAACTGTTTTGAAGTGATAAGTAAATAGTAACTTTACATCATTCTTTCATTTAAAATGTTTCCTCTGCCAATTAAAGAATATTTTCTATTGACAGTAATTACATCTATTGATTCCTAGAATTCCCATCTGTGGTATACCTGCAGTCACCTACGCCACCAATCTGAAACATGACACAGATCTGGAGGAAATTTACCACCAGTATTAAAGTTTTAACCGATGGTTTGGACTGAGTAACTAAGTCAGCAAATAAGAAATGTAACATAGGTAAGCAATATACATTACCTGCATTTTCCATATGGTTGTCAATTCATCCAGCGAAAGTTTTGTTCCGAGAAATTCCACAAGGACTTTAATTCGGTCACAATACTGAGACTGATGAAGATTACCTGTTTGTCATCAAACAGAAAAAGTTGTAAGAAAATAATAATGCATAAAAATTTGGTCTTAAAACAGCTATATGAGGCAGCTAATGTTTTTTTTCTTTACAACATAGCAACTAAAAACAGGAGATTCAAGACATTTTGAAGAAGACAGCAAAAGCTGCAAAGTAAGTAGCTAGTAGAAGTTTGATCTTTACTCTAATGTTGTTAATTTCAGAGAAAATAGGCCATGGTTTTTTCTCGACATGGACGGCAAATTTTCCCAGTTGCTTGATCTTATTGAAACGCCAGCCTGTAACAAAAGTACTAATAGTTTATTATTATATAAAGAATCTCTCTACATTACAAAAATGAACCTGTTCAAAAACTATGTGATGAGAATTTCCAGTCATTGCATCGCATAATGTCAAAGGAAATGAGTGATGGTCTTAAACTCTTGTTACCTACACTTACTGAAGCATGGCATAGGTCTTATGCCATACATAACAACTGGCTAAAATTTCTTGACAAATTGCTAGAGCAGTTTCTCAACTAAAATGATTCCTTGTTACATGAAACTTCAGAAGATTGCCAAATGTGCTTGATATACAGGTAATGGATGGGAGCTCATTTGGTGAATCTGTAGTCTGTCAATTTTCATTTTCATTCATTGTTTTGGATTGGGGAGTAACAAACAAAAACAACATACTTTCAAATGCAATTGAAAGCACTTTATTTTGCAGTAGCCACTCTGTGATGGCATCTTGAGACAAGTTCACTTTGGTGTTCTTGTTCTTCTCTGAATCTTCAATCAGTTTGCAAACCTAGAAGAAAAAATTCATTTGAATTACATCACTGTACATGTAGATGAGCTATATATCTGATGGAGTTGACGAATTAATTTTAAGTACCAATAAAAATGACTCTGTATTACCATGATTCTATGTACAAACCTCTTTCAAGGAGTTCATCTTTGCATTAAAATGAGGACTTTTGAGCATTTTCAAAGCAACTTCCAACCTCAAGTCATCCACTCCAGCCACCATGCTCTGCCAAAGTCTCATACACAGGAGTTTCAGAGTTGTTAACAGGTCAAAAACATCACCAACCGTCTGTTAAGAAGTCAGAGTGTTAAGAGATCAAGGAACTAAAATTGATTACAGCAAAATAATGTGTTTGTAAAAAGATTGCAAACACAAAGAAATGGATAAAACTCCAGCCTCATACATGACAATAACTTTCTGAAGGAGAACAGTCCATTAATGGGGTCCTCTACTGAATAAGCTGGCCTTGAATTTCAGAAATTACTTTAAGCCCAACAGGGAACAGTAAAAACAAAAGCAGAAAAATTAACAATTTGACCCCTGAGAGTGAAATCTAACTTCTCCTTACAGTATCACTCTCAAATCACATGTTAAAGTAATGAGAATAAAGGAAATGATCACCAACTAAAGAGGCTCTTGCTTTTAAATCAAATTCTCCCTTTCAGCACCTTATGAAATATAGGGGAGAATAGTATAAAGAACAATTATACAGGGTTAAAAAAAGCAACAACTTCTCAGCTTCAGGTAATTTTTAAGTTTACCTTTTGTTTCATATCTTCATTAGTAAGTTCTTGAATGTAAGCCAAGGTCTTTTCAAAAACATCACTGAAGACTTTCTACGATGAAAAGTAACAGAGAAAAATATTCAAAGAAATGAAATTCCTAGCTACAGTTGAAGTAACTCATGCCCAAAGGGGGTGTAAGGAAAGCATCTTTACAATCAAGCTGACTCACTGTATTATTTTGTGAAATCTTACCGGTAACACTTTGGCATTCAAATAACTGGCGCATATCCCCAATGGTTTCAAAAGTGCAGCCAGCATCTAAAATCAGAAATGAAATGAGTTTGTAAAAGGCTATAATAACCATAACCATAACCACTCACCCACAAGATGAAAAACTCCAGAATCTTCAAAATTCTTGATTAAAAAATCTTTGAATTCCTGTCTTTTTTACTGCACAAGTGTATGTTATTAAAATAATGAGTAATGCTCTTACTGGAGCATCCACTTTCTCAGCTGTCTCAATCTGCTTTTTGATTTCCTCAAAACCACCGAGCTCTGCAAACTGAAAAAGAAAGTTCATGCTTGCCAGTCTTCCTAGTTTGTTACCCTGTCCTATTTTTCACTCAACACACTTGTGTTATTACTCAACACAATTGATTATAATATGAGCAAGGACTATGATGTATGGCCATCCACCCTCTTATGTGTGGTTAACACTTTTACTCCCATGAGTGACCAAGACAGAATTTCTCCTCACAATATCAATACAATGTCAACCAGATAAGTGGTGATAATAAAGAAAAAAAATTTGAGGATAACTTGTTAAGAATTGTATGGTTGACAGTAAGGAGAATTACAAATTTGATCAGGGAGCTAAAGGGTTAGAATCTTAAGGTGTCAGTAATTCAAGGCTCCTTGAGAGTGAAAAAAGTAAAAACAATAGTCTGGATACATGAATTTACATTAATAAGTCAGACTACCGTACATCTAATACTATACACATTAACTGTCCAGAATCTATACACAAAAATTAAAAGCAAGTGATAGACAAGCTTACAAATGACATCCATAATGAAAAATGAAAACTCATGAGTACTCATATGTTACACCTAACTGTAATAAATTGAAGTTAATGACAAACATTAGATCAAAAGTACTGCCTCTATAATATTATTTACTCACTAATTTCTTTTTTTTATAATTATGTACAAAATTACACCTGAATAAAGTGTGCAATTTCCATGAAATATAGCAGGTGTGCCTATAGACATCCTGGAATATGTAAGAAGTGCTTAAGTCAGAAGTCATAAACTTTTAAGAGATACAGTCTTAATGTTACCTTGTTTATCAAGTTTACCAGCCACCCATAAGGCTCCTATGGTAGAAAAAGAAAAAGCCACATGATGTATTTATCCACATTGCAAACTAGTATGTATACTACACTTAAAAAAGCATGTTTGTAGAAAAAACATTAAATGTTCAAATAGTATTTTACTAGCAATAACTTAATTTTGTATTCCCTGATTAACCAACAACATTGGTTGTAAGGATTTGAAAGTGTTGCTAATTTTTTATAATAAGCAATAGCTGCCATAGAAAAGAGAACATAGATTTAAGTCAGCATTCTTTTTTTTTTCAAATTTTCCAACAGAATTTGTCCAAGATTATTGTTTGAAAAAAACTATAGCTGAATTGGATTTTACCCTACTGGATAAACAAAACATGTATTTGACCTTGTATGAAGCATGAGTGTAATAGGCTGAGGTTGGTGGACACACTGCGTAACAATCATCTGCTCCAAAAACTCCTTCATAATACTTCTTTTCCCATGGTTTGGTTCTGTTTTTGAACTGGAACTCTGTCTCAGGATTAAATGCCTAAAAAAAAATGACCAATATAACTTCAGGAGTGCCTACGGTTAAAATAACTTGAAACACTTAGTTGAGGTTGTAACATGATTATTGGTGCAATTTGGTGTTAAGAAGCTGAGGTTAATTTTTCAAAGATGATAAAATTGCTCAAGTCTGCAGGGTAATTGCAAATTGTACTCTTTGAAACATTCACAGGTTTTTATTTAAACTAAAATAGAAATCATTATTAATATTACTTATTAATAACTTACATGGAAATAGCATCACAAAAGATCAAGACAGATGAAATTTTGACAGCATGTGTGCTTATTTGTAATTTGCTCTTGCATTACAACCTTGCACTCAGGTTACATGAAAAAACATGTTCATTCTTAGTCAATCAGGAGTGTTTAATTTCTTTAGGAATGTTATTATCATAAAAACATAAAACAATTGAGTGCAATCAAATTACACATGCCAACAACTTGTAACAAAATCAGTGACATCCCCTATTGCAAATTGTTTGACGTGTACATGTACCTGTGTCAATAATTCTAGTAAACCAAATGGGACTGGCTTGTACTTAAGTCTGGAAGCTACTAAATTCAAGAGTAGATGGAGCATGTCGTAGATTCCCTCGTGAATTTCTTGACCCCATCTATGGACTGCTTGTGTGGTAAGTAGCTGTAGAAAAGGAGAGAACAGTGAATGGTTTAAACCCAAGAGTAACAGTTGATCTTGCTGGCTAACTATTAAGTTGAGAGTAAATGTTACCACTCCAAGTTGCAACTGTTTTGGTCATTATGGTGACTGAAAAATATATTTGGCAACTGAAATTATGGCAAAAGTGGCCAATTGGCAACCAACAGATTTGAAAAAAAAAAAAACTTGGAAAAGAAAAATGTTAAAAATTTATCAATCCTTGGTCAAGTTACCTTACAAACAGATGCAAACAAACCATTTGGTAACTCCCAAATATGCATGAGCAGGGATCAAGTTGAACTGATTTCATTGAGATAAATTTCAATTTGTAATGCGTGCAGCATTCAACTCAAACCTTCAACTTTGCATTGGGAAGTATGGTAACAAAATATCAAATGATTCAAGAAGTTATTTACATTATGGGACGTTTTAATACCAATATTTCTGCAATATTTCTGAGGAAGGGGAGTGCAACCAAAAATTTTTTCATGGCAACCATTTTCCAATTGAAAGAGGTCCCAAAAGGCCACTTTTAATAAAAATTGGGCTTGGAGCTATGAATGTAGTTGTGAAAAAGACTGTTCAGTTGTAGTAAGTGACATTTGGACCATCTGCCAATTTGGACAGAAGTCATGATTAGAGTCACTTGATTCAGATATGTCTTCATATTAAAGTTGTCACAACATCAGTCAATACACAGACAACAGTCTTTTTCAAGATCCCTCTCAGCTCAATGATCACGCCACACAATTAAATAACTACAGTTGTCACTATGCAGTAAAGTAAATATACTGTGGTAGTCATCAAATACATTGTTTACCACATGAATAATGCAAACTTTAAGCCTTACATGTAAAGTAGGTCATGCCATGTTCTAAAAATGAACTGATTAAAAACTAACCACATCAATGACTCATAGATTGATGTGTGAACAATTTATTGAATGCATCAAGTAAACGAATGATCCTGATACATTGTAGATGAGCTGCAATTATAGCAATTGGAGAAAAGAAGCTGGAAAAACTTAAGTCTTCAATGGGATTATATGGGTACAAATGTGTGAATGTGACCATACCTTTTTAAAACATTCAGGTAGTGCTCTGTCCATAAATCTCTTGCAATTTTCATCAGCTTCAGCGAGACCTAAAGAAGAGACAGAATCTTTATTGATAACCGTAAAGCTGATTTTACCATGGGGAAGATGCCTGCTCTAACTTAAGAGTCTATGATCACAAACTGTATCTGAATCAAGTTCATTTATAATAGCAAACATTCTACAAAGATTAAAGCCGCTACATCAGTTGACAGTACTTCTCACTACTGACATGTATGTTTCCAGGTCTCTACTAAGTTATCAAAGGGGAAAAAACAAAGATTTGAAACTAAGCAACATACATGTACAATGTTCCAAGAAGATGGAGAAAGTAAGAAGTTTGTTGTTGCTCCACATAATGATTTTTAATTATATGAAACACCTTAGAGTGACTGACACACATCAGAAGTAAAATGAGGGAAGAAATGAAGAAGTCATGAAGTGGCAAGGTTATATACAGAATACTCTACAGGTTGAGAATGGATAGGTCATGAACATGGACAGGACATGAAAAATAGGAACCGATAACACTAAAATGATCTACCACATCCTGCTTTTAATTTCTAATACACACATGCACTAACAAGATAACACCAATGCCCTCATTAACTTTAATTAAGAAGATAAATAAGATATGGATGTTTCCACTGGTAAGCCACAATCCAAATGTTTTCCAAAGTTTTGGGGAAAAAAAAGCCAATGCACACTATAGCATTTTTCAATAGATATCCTTTTCCAGATTGCACTACTAGTGATGGACTTTTTATTTTTTAGCCTCTCATACCACATGCAAAATCAGAGCAAGATTTCAGTTTCAAACACAATATTTGAAAATCTTTCCAAACAGATGATCGGAATCCCTCCAGACCTCTTTCTGAAAGGATGTGATGTGATAAGAAGGAAGCACTCAAGATTTTTCCAGTCTTACAGAGACAGGATAGAAACAAATATTGGTTTAATAAGTTTTGTTTTCAACGAGAGGATATCGAAATGATTTTCAAAATACACTCGAAACTTGAGTACAGTTCAAAAGGGAAGAGGAAGTGATGCTTTCCGTACACAATTATGTATAATTCAGTGTGTAATTGAGCCTGGTTTGTAAAATTCAAGAGAAATAAATACTGACGAAAGGAAAAAGATCCAAAGACCCAGACTCAAGTTATACATCATGGTCCTGACCACTGGTTAGAAATGGTTGCAACTTTCGTTGCACTCACCATCTTGAGCAAATCTTGCAGCACTCTGTAAACATTTTCCCAAAGACTCATCTCTCTTGTAAGGAATTGACCAGTTGTCCACAAAAACCCTGTCCTCCAGTTCATACAGGTTAGTAGTGGGAAATTCCAGTGGTATCTCCATACTTTCGGTTTCATCTCGACTGTGGCTAGCTCCATTTTGGGACAGACCCGCAGGATTCATGGCTTCGTCGTACGACGGAGGTGGCTCTCCCGTTGGAGGCTCAAAAACGTCTCCATCTTCACCTTCTCTAGGATCCAGTAAAGGAGGAATCATGTCTCCGTCATCCGAGCCGTGTTGCGTCTCTGTGTCTTTCACTTCCGTGTCTTCGTAATCAAAACTTGTGCTTGTTTCTTCTCCTGTAAGAAAAGCCACTGCATCATTCAAATCATTCTTCGCCAAACTTAGCGCTTTGCGGATCTGTGCGCTGTCGACAAACCCCATGTTTAGCAGGGTATCGACGTAAGCTTCGTTAGGCTCCACCATTCTGACAATAATGCCAGAGGTTAGAAATTAATGATTCGTAACTGCTGATCTCTTCATTCAGGCTATAGACTCTGTCGCCATGTTGAATTTTAGGGCTGTCCCGGATGGGTTATAAGCCGGGAAAACTGGTAACTACCTCAGGAACCTTGGTCCCAGCTTACAACCGTGTGTCAACACAAAATGGCGGAACTTAGAAAGCGGGGAGCCACCAGTTCTCCCCTCGAGGCAGATTTCAAGTTAACCCACGATTCGCCCTCAGTGATTGCACATCCAAAGGGGAAAAATTCAGCAGGCTGGACGTTCTTTTTAATTCTTATTTTGTACTTGTTCTCCTGGTACATTAGCTTCAAAGCTTCCAGATCTGTACCCGCGCCCAGAACATCAATGGGGAGTTCCGTTAGCGAATTTGTGGAAGAAAAAGCTCGCCAACATTTAGATGCAATTACATCCATGGGACCGCGGCCTGCTGGAAGCTATGCAAACGAAATTCAAGCTGTAAATTATATCGTTGGAGCTTTACAGACAATAAAGGACACTGCACGCGAAGATGTGATCATCGAAATTGACATTCAGAGACCATCGGGTAGTTTCAATTTAGCCTTCTTTGATGGATTTACAAGCGTCTATCGCAATGTGACCAACATCGTGGTCAGAATAACACCGAAAGAAAGCTATCCGCCCAAAGACACTATCCTCGTCAATGGGCATTTTGATAGTGTGCCGGGCAGTCCTGGCGCTAGTGACGATGCGGTGAGCTGTGCTGTGATGCTGGAAGTGATCCGATGTCTCGCGCATACGCGCAGCTTCCGTTTTACACACGGTGTTGTCTTTAATTTTAATGGAGCTGAGGAGAATGTCTTACAAGCAAGCCACGGCTTTATTACGCAGCATAGATGGGCAGAAACTATCAAGGCGTTTGTGAATCTGGAGGCAGCTGGTGCAGGTGGGTGGCAGGGTAACGTGGCCTTACATGTTACAGAGCTGTAAAACGTTTGCGTGCATCACGGACTCTCACGGGCTTATGTGTGAAGTCATATCAACAGTACAATAAAGTGGCAAAATTTGGAAGAATGGAGAAATGACGCAACTATTTGCCTTGGTTTAGAGGCAAGTAGAAGAGTTAGGCTTGAAACTTTTCCCACTGACTGTCCTTTGGCAAGGACATAACTTATTTTAAACTGCCATGTTAGCAGGATATGTTACAGTTGTAATAATATGTATTGAACAATCTAGATGAACTGTGTTCAAATGAACACTTAAAATTTATGACAGATTTCTACAATTCAGGAATGTTTGGAAGAGATATTTGAACAATCTGTGGATATAAAAATGAAAACAAGTGTGAGCAGTGCATAAACCATACAAGGGCATGAGGCAAAAGCAAGAAAAAAAGGGGAAGCTAGGAAAGGGTAAAGCAAGGCATGGTGTGCCACTGTGCCTAGAGATTCCAGAAAATTCACTTAAATTATTTCACAATGGTCCATAGTAAAGGTTAGCCCCAGCATTTCATCAGACTTTCCTGACAATTTTCTTTTACTTACTTATACTCCTGTAATTATGTGATTATTTTGGTTGATTTTAATTGATTTATCTTTTCAATCCAGGTGGAAGGGAAGTGTTATTTCAGGCAGGTCCTGAACATCCTTGGCTGATCAAGACATATTCAGAGGTAGCCCCACACCCCTGTGCACAAGCTCTTGGCCAAGATGTCTTTCAGAGTGGAATCATACCTAGTGACACTGATTTCAGGATTTACAGGGACTTTGGCCAAGTACCAGGTATCTGAATTATGGACTGACACCTAGAGACTGATTGAATGACTGAATGACTGACTAAGTGAATAAATGACTTATTGACTGATTGTTTGAATGAATGAGTGAATAAACAACTTGATGGCTGGCTTACTGAAAAACTTACTGACCTACTGACTGAATTACTCACTCACACTGAAAGATTGAATGACTGATTGAATGACTGACTGACTGACCGATTGTATGATTGATTGCCTTACTGACTGACCGACTGAATGAATGAATGAAATGCTCCTTAACTGACTGAATGACTGGTTAGTATTTGATCAATTCATTTTCACTGATTACCTTATTGACTGATTGATTGTAATCTTAGTGAAAATCTCTTTTGCATTGAACCAATCTGGTTAGCATACTAATAATTTTCTGATGTGTAGGAATGGACCTTGCCTATATTGCCAATGGTTATGTTTATCACACAAATTACGATACACCAGCTGCTGTTACTCCAGGCTCTATCCAGCGTGCTGGTGATAACATACTGGCTTTGGTCAAGAGCATAGTTAATTCACCATTTCTGGCTGACCCTGGAGAGTATCGTCATGGTTCCATGGTGTTTTTCGACTTCCTGGGAATTTTTGTGATACATTACCCTGAAAGAATTGGCTTGGTGATAAATCTGACATCAGCTTTTGTGGCAGTTCTTTGTCTTATGAAAAAATTCCTTCATTTTCCAGCAAAGAGAACCATCTTTGAAGAGGGTAAGGCATAATCTACAAGTACAAATCTATTATTAACATTCTACATTTTCTAAATTATGTACAATGAGCTATGAAAGCATAGGCCTTAAAGCAGACCTGAGTACATCTTCTTTTCCATATGTGAATTAATCAAAGTTTTGTAGTCTTAAAAAAAAAAATAAAAGCTACACAAAATAAACAAGGTAACAATGGGTGCTTTTTTTTATCAACTCTTTTAGAGCGTTTCATAAAATATGATTAGGTCATTTTTGGGACTGGTAAGCTTTTATATTCTGTTCATTGTTTCCATGCATGTTGATAAAATTGTCAACATTTTCAATTTTCTGTTAAGCCAGTTTCCTACTGTGATAGGGAAAATGGCATAGATGAGGGGTGTCATACAATGTTTACAAGATTGTGGATCTTAAAGTACACTGCAATTGAAAGCTGTCCTTAACACTCTTTTTAACTGTTGTTTTTCATCAGGCAAAGTATTAAGACTTTCATCTGGTGTAGGAGACCTTATCATCTCTCTGTTCATCCTATTACTCTCATGGATAGTTGGAACATCATTATCTGTGGCTGTAGGTGTCCTTCTGACATACTCAGGTCACTCACTAACTTGGTACTGCCGACCCTACCTACTCTTGGCATTATACACAGCACCATCTCTACTGGGCATTGGTTTGGTTCATTTTCTCATTAAGAAGTCTATTGTGGCAAAGGTAGACACAATTTAGTTGTCAATTTAGTGACAAGCAAAGAAAATTTGACAATTTCCTTTCTTCTTATGACCAATATATTTGATCTGGGGGTGACAGTCAGGGACTTCAAGACAAGCTGTTGACTGCCAGAGTTCCACCTCATACTTCATAACATGTCCCTGATCACTCTGGTTAAAATAATCACCTTTTGGCCTTTTAATGAACTTTTTACACTCGCATACTTTTGCTGCATCTAATGCCTACTTCAAAACATTTTGAAACACCTGGACAGCATGGGGAGAAATGAGATGCTAGTCTCCCTAAAGGGTTAATGGGTCAACAGAAAAGTTAATATTGTTTTGCCTCCTTTTTGGTCTGCATAATGTACTTGTGGTGAACTGATCATCTCAAGTCTTTGTTTGCACTCATTTGAATTTCATTATTTGTCTCCATAGAAAGTGAATTTTATTTTGTCAGGTTAAAGATTTATCAATGTCTTAATTCATTGGTTTGATTGTTCAACATATGAAAAGAACCAAGAAAAAAGAACAAAGAACCAAAATTTATATTTTCATTTTGATCTCTGCTTTCAGTTTCTTATGGCAGAATTTGTAGCACTTAGCTATGAAGTGTCCTCCTTTTCAGGCAGTAACTGGTAAAATTCATCACTAGTAGCACTTCTTGTTACCGCCTAAAATCACCTGATATTCTGGAAAATTCAACATTTTAAAGGATTGGTCTGAAAATTTAACATACCTGTTTTACTTAAAATAAGGGAGAAGAGTGGCTATGCACACTTGTTATGCTTCCAGTGAAGCGGAACAGGTTAAAAGTCAAATCAAGCAAAAAAAACCACCAACAATGGGCTGTGCATAAGCATTTCCTACCAGTTTAAGTTTGGACTGCATCTTTTTTCATGTTGTGGGATACTTTGCCATACTGCATCTCAGCATCAGCTTCAAAAATCTTATAAATTTATTGAGGACTAGTCACAGATCCAAAAATGAAGATGGAAATTACATTTACTAAAAGATAGTGTTTTCAATGTTTTTTTCCTCAGGAAAAAGCTGTGTCAGAGAAGAAAGAAGACAACATTCCTCTCAAGGAAAGGATATCTAACCAACTTGTGAAGAAAGAAGTAGAAACATTTTATGCTGCTTTCCTTGTCTGGACAATAGTCATGTTGGTAATGTCATATTATCGCCTGGCTTCAGCACATTTACCATTGCTCTTCATCATCTTTCCACTGATTATACGAGTTGTTATATGGGACAATGTATTAACTGCAAAGACAAGTCATGAAAATGTTGGAGCGTTTTTGTTTATGTATCTCTTAGCTACACTAGTACCTGTTCAGTTTTGTATGTATTTGACATTTGCTATGTTTGACGTCTTTATGCCTATTATGGGTCGAGCTGGAACACAAACACCCCCAGATGTCTTTATAAGTGTCCTGTGTGCCTTTGGAGTTGTGCTGTTGACTTCTTATATGGTGAGTGTGCTCAGTGAAATTCGATCAATTTGCTGATTAAATACTGTTAAAATTCTGATAAGAAGATAATTAAGGGAAAGTTTGTACTTGAGCCAAGCAACCCCCCTGAATGTGATGCCAGTCCATCACAAGGATAACCCCCCCAGAATTTTATCAGGCTTCCCTGACAAACTTGGTTGGTACCTTCTCTTAATTCTGGGCCCAATTGTTTGAAAGGTGATTAGTGCTAACATACAGTGTAGGTTTACATTTATTCTTGGTTTCTTTATTCCCTTGTTTAAAAGCCTTTTTTTGGGATAATTTTCTCTATACTTTTTAGAGCATTCAACATCAAATTGTAGACAAAAAGAATTCTCCTGAATGATCTGAAATCAGATTTCACACTAACCCTGGGTTATCTTAACCCAGCTTTGAACAACTGAGCCCTGGATGGAGAGAGAGAGAGAAAGAGAGGCACTAAGAAAGTGTTATGTTTCTTGCTCAATAACACAACCCAATGACCTGGCCAGGTCTCAAAGCCAGTCCTCCTATCAAGCCAGAGTTCAGCAAGCTAACCATTTGGCCAACACATCTCCCACAAAGTTCTAATATGCTTCTATTTAAATTTACCTTTTTTTTTTAGGTTAGCACTGTGTATGTTCTGGGAAACCTCAAGCTTCCAGCCATATTTCTTCTGTTTGTTACCACTGTAGGAATGGTTATATCGCTCTCAGGACTGTCATTTCCTTACTCAGCCATCAATCAGTGCCCTAAAAGGGTGTTCTTTCAGGTAAGAAGAAATTCATTCAATCAATTCATTCAATCATTTTCCTGCAGGATTGTACCAACTGTTTCAGCTAATTGAACTATTTTAACTAGTTGAACCAATTCAGCTAGTTTTTGCATTTTTTCTCGGGGAAGCAAATCAGCATGTTTGACTATTTTAACCACTGAAACAAATTTAGCATATCTGTGCAATTTGTTTAGTTTAACCTACTCAGCTGATTTGACCACTTTTACCAGTTGAACCTATTCAGTTAATTTGTGTGTTTTGTCCAATTTACCGGTAACTGTTTTAGCCAATTTTGGTGGTAACAAGACAATGTGAACAAACAAATAGTATGCTAGTCTCCAGATTGAAGTGAGCAGAATGAACAGACAAAAATTGTATTCAGATGAGAGGTTCTCATATAAAAGTTTAACCCTTTGCACCAGATCTCTTTGCATTTCCCATAGTACTGACAAGGAGAATTTGTTTGATAATCAAGAACTTCCCTAAGCAATGATCATTTCCTTTATTCTTACAATGACCTGAAACAACTTCAAACAAAGTTGAAGCCTTTTCTTTTGAAACATGCCTCAACTTCCCCAACCAGGATTTGCTGAAAATGCAAGTTGCAAAGCCCTGACACTGTGCATGCTTGCATTTTAATTGTTCAAGCTTTCAGCATAGATTATTACTTTTTGGAGGGTTCTAAATTCACACTGGAGTGCACATTTTCACAACCATTTATTAGACCATTAAATAGTGGGTATGTTCACACCATTGATGACTCCATCCAAAAGATGTTTTTCAGTTAAACCTCTCACCAACATTTTTTCTACATGCAGCACACATCAAGAACATTTTACAATAATGCTGGTGAAGTGGTTCAACAAGATGCAGGTGCCTGGATCACTCCACTAGACTATCTTGGCATACAGCCATTCAGTGATATACCCATGTTTAAAAAGGCTTTGCCTGCACCTCAGGACGGAGTTTATGGAGGTTTTCCTTATTACTTGCCATTGAGGCATCTCGTGCGGTATGTGGTACTTGCTCATTCAATGTTCTTCGATTGGTCTCTGGTTATTCATTGCATGGCCAATTCACAGGAATTTCATTGAAGAAGAGTATGGAATAGAATACAAGCTGTCAGGCTTTGCTAACTTAATGCGTTAGACAAGTTGGGTAGAAAATACACAGCTTTGCTTTAACTCTGGAATGGGAGGGGTCAGTAGAAAATGGCAAAGAATTATTCTGGCAAATCATTAGCTCTGTGTGCTTAATTAATCAACTGGCTAAGAAATGGGGACCATGTGTTATCTATTAAGTGTTGATCTTCCTTTCATGCCATATGTGATTTATTTATTTTGCTCACCTATCCTTGAATGTTTAAGGAGCACTTTCATGGCTACTTGATAACAAAGCTACAATAAACAATAGGTACCATGAGCCATCACACTTTTTTCTTTCACTGTTACTCTGACATCCTTATAGCATTTAGTTTGTGACATGTACTGGGTGATTTGTGATAATTGTTCCTTAGATCCCAATTATAGAAAAAGAATCCTGCATGAACCCAACTCTGAATTTATTTGATTACTATTCTGAACATTTAATATTACTGTTTAGTTTAATTTTATAACTCTGTCTAATTGTGAAGTATTGTATTTGCAATCAGAAAATCTTGGTATCTCCCTGGTCCTCCACCTCAAGTCAAAACATCTCCAATGGAAGTGAAATTGCTACATAGGAAGAAACAGGGTCAAGTTTACTCATTTAAATTCTCAATATCAGGTCAGGTTTCTCTCTTTAACCCTTTGACCCCTTGAAGTGACCAGCATCTAATTTCTCCTCACATTATCATGCATTCATATCTCACCAGTGTCTGACTTCTAACTGCCTCAGGTCCTGATCACATGGCTGTATACGTATCACCTGCTAGTGACATAGATTTGCTGACCTCTTCCCTCGGTCCCCTTTTACCAATTCAAGATGGTGGAGACAGAGTTGTGTACTTTATTTACTATTCTCATGGTACTGATGTGGGGCCCTGGGAACTATCGCTTGAGCTTCTGGTGAGTCGGACAATTACAGTATTAATCATACTCGTGATTACAAATCAGACTCCTGCCTTGCAGTCATCTGACTTTGTAAGCTTCTGAAATGTTCCAGAACATTTTGTATATATATATAAAGACTCACTTATGTGGTAGTTGGGGTAGTTGTTGTTGTTGGAGCAACAACTGTATAGAAAGCTATACTGAGAGAGAGTTACTGCTGAAGATCACTTATTTCAAGGAACTGTGGAGACAGCAGTGAGATTGTGTCAGTGGTGAGCTAGGATTTAGACTGTGGTGGGCTTAATTAAGTTTATTAATGATAAGTATTTTACTGCTTTGAGGAGTTGCTCCTTGTCAAGAACATCACTTGCTGTTTAATAAAATATTAAGTTTGTAGGATTGTAGTGTTTTCTGTCAGTTAGATCATACAATAACAAAATAAACTACCGGTATTAGTATCTGGTGTTTGAAAATTGATAACCTTAGTCTGTAAGCAGGTCCTTATTATAGGTGCTTTGGCACAAGTGTTTCTTCACCTGCAGGAAAATATGAGGCCTTGAGTAACACAGCACCACAGTTTTGTAGAAATGTACACCCTTTAAAAAGTGCAAGACTTCATTTTGTCGTTATAGAAATGAAGAATGCTTCATATTGTTGTTACAAAAACAAACAATGCTTTTAGGGTCATTACTCAAACATATTTCAGTTCTGACTAAATGATTGCTTTCTGTGTACTAGTCAAAGTCTTCATGGTTTTGGTGGAAATGAACACTGCATAAGTGATAAAGATTTCTCAAATTCACAATCTGTTTGTGAGTTCAAAACAAGTTCATATCAAATGAACAATGCTTCATTTTGTTGTCATCACTAGAACATATTTCTTTTCTGATCATCATCTTCATGGTATTATTAGGAACAAACAGCACTTTATTGATAAAGATTTCTCAACTTCATTACCCATTTAGAGTCTGTCAGTTAGATCTTTTCAGTATTTGTTTCCTCGTGAGATATGACTCAGGATTTCTGGCAACAAGACTAAAAGTTTCAGGCAACTTGACTCTGGTTTTGAGCAACATGACTTTTGGGTGACTTGACTTGAGCCCTGGTGAACCCCCTCCCTAACCTGTCTCAAGTATTCCTTGGGCAGAGAAACATGGGTCCTGCAGTGCTGATAGCAAGCACTTGCTCTCAGGCTAATATATCCCAAGATTCTTTTAATTTAAATATCATTTCAGCCAAAAAGACATCTCCCGGCCAAGAGCAATTTGTTGGACTTTGCTGTGGCAGCACATTATATTCACGGTAAAGAGTCATCTTCACCTTTCCTCAAAGAAGTCATTCAAGCTATTCCAGACTGGATTTTTGCTAATGATTGGGTGGACACATACAAGAGCTGGTCTTACACTACATAATTCCCTGTATTGCAAGAATGCATCAGTCCAAGACCTTCTAAACACTACTATGAAATACTGAAAAACAAAAATTTCAAGCCAGGAATTTGAAGAATTGCACCAGTTTGAAACAGTTCACAGGTTGAAAATTATCATGAAGATTTTTACATTTTAGGGGGGATGACCTCAAAATTATTTATCAGGATTAGAAGAAAATTTGACAGGAAAAAAATTGATGTGAAATAACACATCATCAGAAGAAGTCAGGCTGGTCATACATGAATCCAAAAAATTTTTAAAATCACCTTAATTAATTTATAACGATTTTATCTGGAAATTAAGTTCCAAATAAAACTAAGGAATCAAGAAACATAAAGTAAAGGATTGTTTGCTAGCCTGTAGTCTGTCAGCAGACCCTCAGTATAATGATCCCCTTTAATGCCCAAGAGTGCCATATGGGACAAAGCATGTTGAGGGCATAAAAACATAGCCCCCTCCAATATAACACTTGATATACCACCCTTCAACTTTTTGTCTTTTTACTGTATTGGTCTATATCTCACAACAAACAATGCTCTAGGAGCTACAATTTAAGCTATAGTTTATTTAACAATCGGTTCATACGTCAGCGTGCGTTCATCGAGAAATGAAGCACGCGGGAAGTTTGGAGAGCACGAAAGATGCGTAAGAGTTGCTCGTGGCGTAGCTCTAGCTTCTAGAGTGCTCTCTAAACTTCCCAAGTGCTTCATATCTCGATGAACGCACAGCTGACGTATGAACCAATTGTTTTAAAACATTTTCAACCCGATGGAAAATTTTTTCTCGAGGGATTTGTTTGCTGACGTTATGAGCGTGCACAATAGGAATATGAAGCACGCTCGCGCAATTGAATTTGATTAGACAAATTTACTAGCTCTGTTATAATATAACATAGCGTGTGAATTTGTCTAATCAAATTCAATTGCATGAGCGTGCTCCATATTCCTATTGTGCACGCTCATGACGTCAGCAAACAAATCCCTCGAGAATTTTGCACTCAATCAGAAAATAAAGTTTATTTACACGCATGAATTCACCTGTCAGTTTTTTGACCAATCTAAGACAAGATCGTTTACAGCGTAGCGAAATGTTTTCCTGAAATAAAATTATCAACGGGCTGAAGCGTAGCAGAGGGATTATCGACCCTTTCACAACATTTAAACCATCGGGTTGAAAATGTTAGAAAACAATTGGTTCATACGTCAGCTGTGCGTTCATCGAGATATGAACACGCGGGAAATTTGGAGAGCACGAAAGATGCGTAAGAGTTGCTCGAGGCGTAGCCTCGAGCAACTCTAGCTTCTTGAGTATATACCCCATATGTATAAGGCAAACAAAATTTCAACCTTTTTTTTTATTTTTCACTTTGAACACTTCTCAGTATTTTTAGTCGCATCCTCCTTGCCTGTTTGTGTCGTTATAGCATACCCCTGAAAATACCTTTGAACTGATATATTATACGCGGTCTAAAGGTTCATCGTTCTCGTTTTAGAAAAATTTGGCATTTCCCCTAGGCAGTAAAGGGATAACCGTTTCCGCACGAGTGATTCTTTGCTTGCGGGAGAATATTAGGCCTTGTGTGACGCAATCCAGTCAGCAAGGGGTCTAGTACTCATTATTAATGCTAAACCCCCGTCAACTTCTCCCTGACTTTTTTCAAACTTTCCTGTGGAAAGAGAAACGCATGTCCTGCACCCTGTTCAAGCAGTTTAGTTAGAAAAATGGAGCATGATGCTAAACTGAGCGACAGTAGTGGCAGAGCGAAAAGAGGAAGGAGGTTTTGGATTGAGTTGGATAAAAGTGGAAACCTTGATTCTATTTTCGCTCTGCTGCCACTTTGTGCTGTTCACTATTGTGCTCTGTTTTTCTGACCGAACACCTGGAACAGGCTAGTTGTTTTCAAATTTTAAGCTCTTAACCAATTTAAAGGGGATATAGCTATCACCCCTGGCTTTTACAAGCCTTTAAAGAAAAAAGCTGAAACGAGTTGGAACTCCCCCTATTGCCAGCGTAACTGGCATTTTTGTGTGCGCTTTGATATGTCAAACCAGGAGGAGCCTTGGAAACAAGTGCCAAGGCCATGAGAGGCTTGGAACAGAAAAGTGGTTTCTCTGACCAAACCTCCACTTCTTATGGAGAGCCATTTGTGCCAATATCATCAATCGGTAGTGATAAAACCCAATCGTTAGTGCTAGCAACAACTCCACGAACTCTTTGTGACAGAAGAGACCTTAGGTAGACCATCCTGTCTACCTACCTCTCGCCCTGACTTGAAACCGACTCAAAGCCCGAGTCTCCGGGGATGACGCACCACGCGCTTAGCACAAAAGAACAACAGCACAACTCTGTCGACTGTGACTGTGCTCGGCGCCAGATGGACAGCAAAAAACCCGTTTTCTTTAACTTCTCTATGCAAAACATTAATTAATGCAAGAAAACCTCATTTTGGGGGGTTAGAGCATTTATTGTGAGAGAAACTCAGTCCGACTCAGGAATGATCCTGAGAAAAAAAATTGTTTATCTCTCTTGTATGCTACATGCGCCGCCGTTTGCAATTTGTACACAACATATTTTATCATATGAAAATCCGACAGTTTTTGTCCTGCGCAGTAAGCTATCAAGGCTTGATATTTTGAGAAAGTTCAATTTTTAAAGAGAAGATCGAACAACGAAATAAACCTTGCAATATTGTTTTTAAAGCGAATGAATACAGAGATATATGGGTCAATGTTTGCACATTATTTGAATGACTTCAAATTTGATTCCACCAGTAGGACGGTCATTTGAAAACCAAATTTTCTCGGCTTAATGAGTTACTAGCAAATTTTATGGGTTTGTTGGCTCTGTGAGCTCTACTTTAATAATATAAAATAAATATATGGGATCGGACGAGGTAAAAGCGATTGATGATAAATGGACTCTTGCCCGGGATAAAGTTAATTCTGTTTTCGTATGGTTTCAGCTGGTTTGTGCTAATTTAAGTTTCAGGTGAAACTTTTCATTAATAGTTGATTAAAAGATGACAATCTGTTAGTAAGCCTTTGCTCTTTTGTATTAATAGCCTTGATAATTGGTCGTCAAACAATTGAATTCGTATTTGTTTTGATAGTATGCCAAAACAGTACCAGCACTGTACGCCCTCTGTGCGCCTGTCACGCTTTAAGTTCGCTAGAAAATTACTCCATCATCGAAGAAACTCAACTTTGAAAGGTAAATGGACACTTTCGTATTTTTTATATTATATTATTATTATATTTTTATTATTTTTTCTTATGGATGCATGGTGCGAGTATTGATGCGGCCTAGTTTTCCTAGTAGTTTTTCTTTAATTTTTTATCTTTCAAATACGAAAAAAAAAACTTCAAGGAAATTTTTCCCTTTCACAGTGATGACATTTTAGACAGGCTATGTCTTGCAAGTTTACAATTATGGTAAATGAAAAATGACTAGTTCAGACCTGAGAGTTTTAAAAGCGTCATGTATACCACTCAGTTTAAGACTCTTAATCGGATACGGCTGTCTAAGACAGCCTTAATCTTCACAAGAAATGTGACCAAAAATTGGTTTATTATTTGATTGAAAGCTGTGTTGAGAAAAAGCATTGACAGTTCTCTGGCATCAAGTAGACTGAGCTTCCCTTTAATGTATCGTTGTTATCGACGTAAAATGACCTGTTTGAGAGAAAGAAGTGGTGGTGAAATATTCTTTGAATTTCCATTTTTGGAAGAAAGAAATTAGCGTTAAGGGCGTCTTTCCCATATCAGTAATGATGTTTGAAAGACGGTTGGTCTTGATACTTCGCTTTTATACTTTTGGAAAATCGGAAACGATAGGTTCTGGGAAAATATTTCAAAAGCGTGATGTATATTCGTCAGTTTGAGACAGTTGTTTAAGCCGGAATCTCTACAGCAAACCTGGCTCAGAATTAATTCATTCTTTCGTGAACAGGTGTAGTTAAGAAAACATGTTCAGGTCTTTTGCTTCAAATAGACCGAGCTTCCCTTTATGTACCACTTTTCATAAACAAAAAATGACCTATACTAGAAAAAGAAGCCGGCACTTGATGGGAAACATTTAATGCCCATTTGATATTTTATGGATTTGAAAAGAGGTGCGAGGTCTTCCACCCAGTTTTCTAATTAAAACGCATGGTGCTAAGAACTTTGCATAATTTAATAATTTTAAAGCATTCCCCATGTAGATCACTGGCTTGCATCTGAAATGAGGTATTCTCTTTTTTTTTCTTAATCAGAGTGAGTGATACCTGATATTCTGCTTGCTGCTCCAGAGTAAACTGACATGAAGGTAATTAAACATAAAGATGTTTTGTATATGCAATCTAAATTTAGTATGATGGTCTTTTGCTCCAAGCTCACCTTCTTGAAAGTCGTTTTTCACGACTTGAAATAAAGAATATGTCACCTAAATGAAGAGCTAAAAAAAGCAGAACGAGACAAAACACATCAAAACAAACCAAAGGCGGGAAACACTCTCAATATTACGGAAGGTATTTTACTGTTTGCCTCATCATTTTTCTTTAGAAAAAGCAATGCATTGAGACATGAGTTAGACATTTGGCGACAAAATGGCTGGCAATTGTTTGAGGAAGTTCGGGTGATATCTCAAAAGCTCATTACACGGACATCCGAGGGCCCATCTTGGGCGCGGGAGATTTCCTATTTTGATTCAGCGCAAGAAAAAATATTACTTAGAACATACAGACAAGTTTCTTGATGTTTGGACAATACCGTCAATAGAGGTGCAAAAAAGCGGCATCGAGGGCCCATCATGGGCCCATCTTGCCCGCGGGAGATTTCCCACTTTGATTCAGCGCAAGAAAAAATATTACTTAGAACATACAGACAAGTTTCTTGATGTTTAGACAATACCGTCAATAGAGTCGCAAAAAAACGGCAAATGATCGTAATAAAAAGAAAACATAATATAATCTTAAACGACTCTCGTAGGTTTATTTTGCTACA